TATAAAATTACTAATGAGATCTAAAAAGAGAAATCAAAGATAAAGTATCAAAATATCATTAATAAATATACTGATATTTTGATAGATTAGAAATAAATTTAATGAGAAAAAGTAATATATTTTTAAATATAATATTAAAACAATAATTTAAATTAATTAGATTATAATAAATGGAAATATTTATAGATATTCAATTCCCAGATTTAATATATTAAGAAACTTTTAATGGCTTGGTATAATACAAATTAATTCTTTATGCTAATTAACCTTCTTCTGTATAATTTGGGATATTTTCAGTATCATCTACATTATCATCAATAATAGGATTATCATTAATTTATAACTTTTCTGATTTAAATAAATTTTCTTCTTTATTTGGTTATTTTTATAATTGAGTAATTTATGGTTATTGTAAACATTATGCAGAGTTGATTTGTGATTACTATTATTAAGGTTATTAAAGTTAATTAGATATAAATATTGAACTCTTTTTTGAAGACAAGTTATTGTTTGACACTCTCTCTGGAGAATGAATAAAACCTAATCTTGATTCTAACATTTTAGTGTCTATAAATCTTTAACTCACTTGATTTGCTAATTCCTTTTCATGCTCATCTATTATCCTTTCTAATTCTTTTTTTTTCTTACTTTCTAAAACATCATATTTTAACTAAAATTCATTAAAATTTTTACATTAATATATTTATCTACTTTTTATATTTCATCATATAATGCTTCTAAAAGTTTAATTTATGGATCTTCTTTAATTTTGAATCTAGAGAGTAAAACAAAATAACATTCTTAAATAGTATAAGAATCATACTTGCTTTTTTATCATATTTTGCTTTATATTAACCAAAATTTCCTCTATAACTGAATTATTCAGGTGGTTCTTTTGGTTTTGCTTTAGGATCATTTGGATCTAATTATTTGGCCTTAATTTCTGTTTCTAATTTTACTCTCTCTTGACTCCAAGTTTTATCAAGTGGAAATCCTTTTCTTATAAACATAAAAAAGAATTATCTATTATAATCCCACATCATAAAACATCTAAATATTTTAATAAGTGTATCTGCACTTAAATCTTTATCAGAATTAAATCCATAACTTTTTTAATAACCAACAGAACCATTTTAAATTTAAGATATAGCTCTTTAATTTGATTGATTATTAATTTATGATCCAACTTTTAGCTATGATTATATTTTACTCTAATATTAATTATTATATAAGTACTTGTTATTAAATCTTATCATCAACCTTAGTCTCATATGGTTCTTCAAAGGCTTTAACTTTTCCATATTTTCTAGCATAATCTTATTCTTTTATTTCTAGTAATTTCTCTATGGTTTCAGTTTCTTTTTTTTCTAATTCCTCTTTTTTTATCTAAGATTGCAAATGTAATATTTACTTTTGAGTAATTTGGCATACTTTTAAAGAGATCAAATATTTCATCCAAAACTTAATTTTGATAATCCTCTTTAACTTCCATACTGCTCAATAAAATGAAATAACATTCTTATTTATTCAAAATATGTTACTGTTCATTTTATCATACTTACATTTAAACTTTCCATAATCTGTAGATTACTCAAAATTGTCTTTGGGTTCTTTGACCATTTCTTATAATTTATTTTCCAGTTCTTTTCTACAACCATTCCATTTAGGAGTCACTTAAAAACCTCTTCTTATAAACATAAAGAAGAAATTTCTTTAGTAATCATAAATCATGAAAGCTCTGAATGCTGACATGTTTACTTTAAAAATATAAATAAAATATTATTATTTGAATAAAAAAATTCATTTGTAATACATTATAAAAAAATAGAATATACTACATGATATATGAGATGAAAATTTATTGGTTAAATAAGTAACGTTATTGAAAGATATTTTTATAGTAAAGAATTGTAATTTAATATTTCATTATATATTTTACATATATATTAATAAAAATATATTGCAATAAATTTTGAAGAGCAATAAATAAAATTTAATTATGAGATCGCTACAATAGATTCCGAAAGTAACTAAAAAGGTTATTATTATAAATCAGAAGTAAGTATATGATAATTTATTTATAGATCAAATATGATTAGTGAAAATAATAATCTTTAGAATATTCAAAATATTTAAGTAAATAATACTGACAGAAAGAATTTATATAATGAAGAACAACTTCCAAAATAATTTGAGGGTATTTGATTAAGTTAAAATAGATAACATGCAATTTGATAGTCAATAATCCATTTAGGAAATGATGATTTTGTATTAAAAGAATTGTACCTAATTATAAGAATTTTAATCTTAAATACATGAATTAAAATAGAGAGTCTAATTGATTGAGTAAAAATTTTAAGAAATCGAAACAATAAATAAGAAAAAAAAGAAAAGGAGAACTGCAGCTGAAATTGATAAGAATTTTAAAGTGTGTATTAAATATATTAATTTTTTAGTGCCCTTATAAAAATTGTGAAAAACTTTATGGATCAGATGTTTCATTGAATTTACACATCAAATTCAAACATAATGGAGGTAATAAGAGTGAACGTCAGAAAATAATTGTAAAATTAACTATTATTTTATAATAGAAATAATTGCAGGCCGGAGAAATATCTGAAAAAGATATTCAAAACATCAATCTACCACCTGTATGAAAAATACATTTCAATCCAATAATAAATTTGATTTCAAATTAATTTATGTGTTTTACAAGAATTTATATTCCGCCATTTTTTTTGGAATTTAAACTAGGTATTTTTAACGAAATTTTAAATTTGAATGCCACATTATTTTTATTATTATAGTTTAGAACTAAAATAATATGTCTAAATTATAAGATACAAATAGAAAATTCAATTATTCAAAGTAAAGATGGGTATATTTATAATAATATAATTTTCTACAGGAAACATTAACAGCCAATATTCCAAATAAAGAAAATATCTAAATGAATAACAATAATACAGTTAAAAAAACCATTAAAAAATGCTCAACTGCTATCACTTTCCAAAAAAAATAACCCTTACCTCAAAGAACAATAACTAAATATTTCAAAATGACAAACATTAAAAAATATCCTCATCTATAGTTATATGATTCTAAAGGATATGTAAGAGAGTTCTAATGTTATGATGACAAAGTACTCAACATACCCCCAGCTTATAACTAAACTATTTCACATGTAAATAATCTAAATAATTATTAAAGTCTATGGATAATGATTGTTAATCTGATAATGAATAAGTTGAATCTGCAGTAAGATAACTCAAATATTTTCTCGAATCTACTTTAAATTAATACAAATAATAACACTCTTAATGAAAATTATAAATATTCTTATGGTTTTAAATAATATTATATTATATTGTATTCTTCTATTATTTTATTTAAGCTATGATCTATATTATGATAATATTAATTCAAATTTATAATTTCATTATCTTAAAATAAGTATTAATACTAAACTAAACAAATTGATTATTATTAGTTAAATATTTTTCATAATTAAATAATAAATCCTTATAAATAGAATGCAAAATTATCTTTGGATTAATAAATAGAAAAGAGAGTAAGTTTATAATATTATTAAGTAAGTGTGGGACAAGGAGATATTAAGTTTTAGTATTATCAATTTTGGTTTTTATAGATTTAAATGATGGATGTGAGCTAAATTTAGTGAGTATTTTAATGCCTATTCTAAAATCTGAATGGCAATTAACAAGATTATAAATCTAAATCTTAATCAGTATTTTTTATTTAGGTAGAGTCTTCTATTTCAAATTAGATAAGGAATGGTATTAGGTTCATTATTGACTAGATTTGTAGCATATCTAAAAGGTAGATTGAAATGTATTTACTTATCGTACATAATATAATTTTTTATGGCAAACAGTTTTTTGCTATGTACAAATTTTTTTTGCAAGATTTAGATATGATTTTGTTTATGGTATTTTGTACAATTAATTGACAAGGATTTTCAATTTCTTTAACTACAACTATGATATCTGAAATTACAGCACTTGATGAAAGAGGAAGATTTTTAATTGTTATTAATTTCTTTGTATCTGTTGGTAAAATTTATGCATTTTATTGGCATTTTATATCTTGAGAATTTCAATTAAGAAAATTGGAGATTAATGATGTGTTTAAGTTCAACAACTTTATTGATAGTTGGAATTTTAGCATGGATTCATTTAATGGAGAGTCCTTGATATTTAATGGGTAATTGTTAAGTAGTAGAGGGTTTAAATATTATTGAAGAAATAATTCATAAAAATTAAAATAATACAGGAATAATAAGTAAGTTATTTAAGACTGTATAACCAGAAGTATCATCAGATCTATTTAAAGGATCAAAGTAAGATTATAAATTATTCTATTAAGATATGGATATATTTCAGCTTAAGAGAGAATAGCAATAGAAAAATGGGTAACTAATGTTTTTCATTTTCAAAAAATGGAACACTGATAGAATTATTTAATAAAAATAATAAAAGTACAACGATTAGATTATGAATGATATGGTTTTGTATTAATTTTGTAATTTATTTTTATAAAATATATTAGATGTATTATGGATAATTACTAATTCTACCATTTATTTTAGGATCTAAATAAAAGACATTTGTTGACTATCTAGCTACTGTTTTAGGTGAAATTCCATCAATCATCCTATCATTGTTAATAGTAGAAATACCTTTTCTAGGGAGAAAGAACACAATAGCTATCTCATTTTTTTGTGCAACCATAATGCATGTCTGGTCTTATTATTCTTCTTGGTCATATTTTTTTTTTTTGCTCGTTTCTTTATGAAAGAATGTTGGGCTATGCTTTATCCTTTTTCTACTGAAATATTTCATACATCTAATAGAACTTTGGGATTTGGTAGTAGTGCTGCAGTTGGAAGGATGTGTGCTGCCATTTCTCCTTATATTTTAATACCATTATTTGAGTAAGAAGTTCATTTACCCTTTTTGGCATTTGCTATAAGTTCTGTTATTTCTACATTATCTTCATTCACATTACCTTATGATACAGTTGGTAAATCATTAGATTTTAGAAGTAAATACAATTTAATTGATAGAGTTCTGATGGAGTAGTTGAGAGTAATAAAGAGGATGAAATTAAAGAAATTATGATGGTTTTAATTGAAAAAAAAATTAGAACTGAAATAAAATTTATATTTATTTATTATTAAATGGATCCTAATGCTTAAATCAATGAGAGATACACAAAATTATAAGAAAAATTGGGAGCTCTTCAATTTGAAGTTGATAACACAAAGGATGCAAAAATTGATGAAATTTATGATAGAATCAATAAAGCATAGAGTGAATTGAAGGATATTATCAATAATTACAGTGAATAACTTGTACTTAATTATGTGAAGAATAGGGATAATTGTCAGGTTAATTCTAAGATCTTACAAAATAATTTGAAAAACGTTTAAGAATTACTTTAATAAATAGGATAAGAAATTAAAGTGAGAAATTAATAAGTAAATATTATTAATACAACTTTACAAAATGATTTACCTTAATTATGGTAATATAATGTTTAAGAAAATTAAGAAAGAGTTTAAGAAGATTAATATATAGTAAAAAAAGCAAGTTAAGAAATTTCCAAATTATTTGAATAAGCTAATCAAGGTAAATAATAAAGGTAATTCCAATTTATATTTTATTAAAAGAGAAGATGCAGAAGTTGGTATATTTACTATGCTCAAAGAAGTTGTAATCAGAGTAAAAAGTGAATTAGAAGAAGAAAGATAATTAAGAATGGATGGACATGAAGCATTATTATCAATTTTAGAAGAAGCTTATGAAAAAATGGAGGAGACACATGCAAAAGTACAATAATAAAAGGCTGCCCTTTAAGAATCAAAATGATATATAATAATAAGTTTATTTTATTATCTTTTAGATAAATTATTGTAATTATTATTAAGTTTATTTATAATTTAAAAATATAATAAAAGCATTTACACTCAAACTCTTCTTACATATACATTTCTATCTAATTTTTTATTAGTCTACTTTCCTTAATCCTAATTTTAATAGTTTTCTAATGTTTTTAAAAAGTCATCATCATTAATTTTAATAGTTTCCTTATTATATTAATTATCTCTTTCAGCAATAGTCATTCTTGTTTGACTACCATGAATAGCTCTACTGCCTTTTTTTTCATTAGTTTTATATAATTTTAATCTAAATGAATCTTCCCCACTCTTTTATTTTAACAATTCATAAGCATACTATAAATTTTAGTAATCTAACCATAATTCTTCATAACTTTATTTTAATTTCTATTCTTGTTCAATAAAATTCTGAGTTTAACTTTCAATAATTGTTTAAAGTTCATATTCTTTATTTGATAATAATACGTTAGCTTTTCTCTATTCATCAGCATTTAATTAAAAATGTTATTCAACAGATGAAACTTATAATCTTAAATCTTAAACCAATTAATTTAATTCTTGGTTTTCATTTTATAAAGATGATATCTTTAAATCTTTTTTATTAAGCTTCTATTGAAGATTGGTAGTTAAATCTATATATTTGGTAGCTTCCTCCAATTAGATTTATAAAGCTTAGATTTCTCTAAAAAAATAAATTTATTAATTACAATTTATAATTTCTTTCTAAAGATTTTTTACTATCCTCAATTTATTATAATTCTTTTCTTGTATGGTCATGTAAGGCTTCTGTTTCTTAAAGTTTATCAATTATTGTTAATAATTCTAAAGTAATTGATAAAGCGTTTACAATTAATTTTAGCATTTGTTATATCGACTTCACATTTTAACTTTTAATTTTCATCTTAAATAAAGGTGAATCTTTCTTTTTAATTGAGAATGTGTTCTTATAATTATTCAATAACTTCTTTTGATGTTTTAACTTAATCCTCATAATTTGATGATATATTATTTAATTAAGAAGTGTTTTATTTCTTAAGATGTTCAACTTATTTGATTAATTTAACTTCCTTTTCACTTTAATAATTTTCAAAATAGTTTTACAATTATTCATTCTAATTAATAATTTGATTTTATATTTACTTTATCTAAAGCTTGTTTTAATTTAAATGTTAAATCAGCTTCTCTTTTTTAAAGATCAAGAACTTTTTTATTAATAACAGTTTCTGTTTCAAACATATTTCTATCTTTTGAAATTGAATTTTTTCTAAGTTAATTAACCCTTTCTTCATTGTCTCTAATTTATTATTTTAGTTGTTGTATTTCATAATCTTTTTTGTCATTTATATCAAGTAAAGTCTTAATTTTATTATTACTTTCTTAGAATGTCTCTTCTAATTAATTTTGCAATCTTAAAATAATAATTATTCAAGCATACAATTCATAATTTATGTGTAACTATTCAATCTTTTTTTGTTATTCATTATCTTTTAATAAAAATGATATTATGTCTTATTTTAATCCATCTTAATCTTTTGCAACAGCTAATTAAAATGTATTAAATCTCTCTTAAAATTCTGTTTCCATATTTTTTATTTAAATATCTTTTTATTTAATAACTTTTTTTAATGTTTCTAAATTATCAATCACTTCTATTGTATCTAATTATAACTATTAGTTGAAATTATTCATTTATTTCATAATAATAATAATAAAATTAATTTTTATTTAATAAGTTAGACATCTTAAATACTTTTTCAATTAAAATTTATATAATAAATCATTATTTTTCCTTAATATCATTATACAATTCAAATAAAAGTAAATATTTTGATGTAAGTTTATTTTTATAATTATAAATAATTGATTAAAAAATATTTTAATAATGATTGATATTATAAAATAAATGTTACCATTCTAATTCATTAATATAGATATATAATCTCATTTCTAATGTTTATTGTAATTGATAAATTGAGTATTTAATAAAGAATTAAAAAAATAAATGAAACAGTTAATATATAAACTTATTCTTAATAATCAATAATCAGATTATTCAAGCCTTCCATAATAAGAAATACAATTCTTTATGTTGATAAAAAATGTATTTTTTTGTTTAATGAATTACGTGACTTCCAAAGTTTCTTCCAACAATACAATTCCAACCAAATTAATCAAATTTATCAAATTCATATTTAATATGATGAGCAATTTATTTCTCAGATCTAAATTGTTACATAGCTGATTATGTAATTTCAGTAACTTTTTTAATGAAATCCTCATCCATATCTGTGGCTTTAATTTGAAGCTTAATCTATTCCATCCTTATTATAATGAAATATATTAATTAAATAAATTTTTTAATATATATAATTTGATATTTAAAATTATTTTTGATGTAGAATATTTATTCATGTTTTTTATTTAATCATCTGCCAATTAGAAAAGTTGATTTAAATCTAAAGTATGGATCCAAATCAACTCTATTATTCATTATGAAAAATCGAGACCAACCAAATTACGCAAAGAATATTCTGGCTATTTATTTCAGCTTTGAATTTTAATTTAGAATTTTTTTCAATCCAGCAAAACCCAACCTATCAGGAGTTTCTAAAAATTTCCTAATTTCATGTTCTGACTTTTATTATTCATCAAAATTAAATTCTACTTAATATATAAAGTAAGATACCTATAAAATGTTTTAAATTCTAACTTATATTATAATACATATTTTTTGTTTCTCCTGGGTACCCATACTTTGATTCTTGTGTTTTCTTCTTTCTTTTTATATTCTAATATTCTTTTTTTTCACATTAGCTTTAGCCTTCATCCTTAAATAAATCTTCATTTGATTCTTAATTTGATTCTTCTTCTCCACTAATACATTTTAAAGAGAGTTTTTTTTTATTTTACTTCTTCGATGGTTGCATTATCGGAGGCTTATTTATTTTTTACGACTCATTAGTTTCTCTGATTCTTATATTACTTGAAAGTTTAGGCAGAGATTCATAATTAAAACCTTATTTTGCTATATTATTTTTACTATTGGACAAACTTTCACTAGATTCTTCATCTGAATCTGAATAAAATCCACAAATACAGTGTTCATTAAATTCTTTTGAGCTCATTGTCTGAATATGAAAGAATTTTATTTTGAAATTTATTTTGAATATATGATTTTTTTAGTCTATTTTTCAAAAAATTCCAATGTTAAGATATTATCTTGATATTTTTAAAGGATTCATTGTTATTTGATAAATAGATCTCTATTTTCTTAAAATAAATTACTCATTTAACTAATCTCTAAAGTACAATCACAATATTATTAAGATATCTTAATTAATTTAAGTAGATTGATTAAATTGTACTATTTTATTGATATTATTGATAACCTATATATGTATGTTTATCATCCATCCTATTCATTACCCTAAAATAAGTTTAATTTAATAGAACAAAATATTTATTATTTAATTTCTAAATTGTTTATTAAAGCAATATAATAATATTGATTTGATAGTTTGAAATATGTGGATATTTAATGATAAATCTAATGATTTAAAAATAGATGATGTATTATTATAATTTTGATTCCATTTAATTAAGGTTAAAATCATATTAATATTTATCCTAATGATTTATACATGTTATTAATAATATTAAACATGATGTTAATTAATATTTCTAATTATAATTATCATACTATCGGATATGCATATATTGTAGAAAAGTAAAGCAAGTGATTATATTCAAATAAAGTTTGAATTCTTTATCTAATCGTCGATTAATTTAAATATATTATTAACAATATATTATTGAAGAATTTCTCTTTACAAAAATATTTTAAATCTATAAATCAATCATTATTTGAAGGTTAGCAATTACATATTTTATTTTTGGCTAATGTATATTTAAGCAAGAATCTTAAACATTGACTATCACATTTTAAGATGAAAAGGAATGAATTATTAAAAAACATAAAAGTATATCAAAAGTCATTAATTTTTGAAAATATTGAAAGAATTTAAGAGAAATAAGACTTAAGTATTGTGGGATGATGATTTATTTAACAATGAATTGATATAATAATAATTTTTTAATTAGTAGAATTGATTTTGAATTATTATTCTGTAATTTTAAAATTAAAATTCTAAAAATTAGTATATTTTTGAAAAAATCATATCTCATCTACCTTTTGTTTTTATGCTCTATAAAAGAAATAGAATATTTGATTAAGACTATTTAATTAAATGATTATATTTTTATTTGAATACAAAATTAAAATAATTATTAATATAGATGAGATTTTTTAAGTTAGATACATCTTTCATTCATTATTATACATATTTTTCAATATTCGCTATTTATGCTAGATAATCTTTTAATTGTATCAAATATATCAATCGATAACAAATTTAACCATCTTGTTCAGTCTTCATAAAGTCAGAAACTTATTAAGTTTATTTTGATCCTTCACTTAAGAATCGAAATGAAACTACAGATTTTTATAAAAAGACAAAGTCCTCAAACTTTTAGAATATCAAATCATTTAAATCTGTAGTAGATTTCTAATTTTTAATAATTTATTTACTTTTTAAGTCTACTTTTATTAATCATTATCTTTAAAACTTTTAGTAATTACAAGTAAATAATCTAAATTTGTAAGTGAATTAGATGGGTCTTCTTTTTGTAACCAATTGATATCTTCTTTCTAAAATCAAAATGTATAAATTACAAGTTAATTATGCAAAATAGGAACTAATTATGGAGCCAAATTAAGTATTCTTTCATTAATAAATAAACCAATTTTTTTAGGTGTTTAAAAGATGTGTTAAAGTTATTAATGTTATTTATTGAATTATTGAGATTTAGTATCTACATAATGCAAAATTTCACCAATAACATTACTCCTATTGATGATTAAAAATAAATTTACTTAATTTCACCAATATTTAATATTGTAGTAAAACCAAAAACATTGTCTTCATCCTCTTGTCCTACCATAGTTCCCAATTCAACTTGATCACATATAATATTAGCCAATTCAGAAGATTTAAAACTTATTCCCTCTAAATAGCCATTCATGAATGTTTTAATAGAGTGAAATTATTTTTGATTTGGATCAAGGAATACAAAGTCAAGATTTATTTCCTCTTCCATATCTCCTTTATTATGTACACTTATAGGTTGTTCAATTTCCTCTTCTTCTGAATCATCATCTTCATAATCTCTTTATTTTCTCTTGTCTTAATTACCTTAATTCATTAATTTTAATAGTGATCAATAAATGGATTAAACCAAGAAGAAAATAAAACCTAATTAAATTACTCTCCTTCCACCAGATACAAGAGTATTTGTTACTCTAATTAATCCTTATGGTGAAGAAGCCTAAAAATCTTTAGAACTATCAGTGAATACAACTAAAGAAGAATTGTAATCAATTTTATAATAATTGGTCAAAACAGAAGAAGATTAAGTTTACTCATTTTTCCATAATAACATTGAATTAATAGACACATTAAATCAATTAATCGCTTCAGATCCTGAATATAAGTTAGAAAATACATTTTCTCTTACATATCATCCCTAATCTCTATTTAGAATATAGCCTATCACACGGTAAACAGCTGCTTTAGAAGGTCATGAATAACCTGTTTTATGTGTTTAATTCAGAACTCATGGAGATGTCTTAGCAACTGGCAGTGGAGATACTACAATAAGATTATGGGATATGTTGACTGAAACACCTATAGCCACACTTAAAGGCCATAAGAATTGGGTATTATGTTTAGCATGGAGTCCTGATTGCAAATATATTGCTTCTGGTAGTCATGATGGTTAAGTTTGTATTTGGGATGTTGAAACTAATTCATTAAAAGGGTAACCATTAATAGGACATACTAAATGGGTAACTAGTATAGCCTGGTAACCAATGCATTTAGATGAAGAATGTACTTTAGTGGCTTCATCATCAAAAGATGGTAGTGTTAGAATCTGGAGTAGAATTTCATTGTCTTGTTTAATATCTATTAATGCTCATTAAAAAGCAATTACTAAGTATATATATATATTTTATTAAATATAGAATGCTTTGGGGTGGTTAAGGACATATTTATACTGCATCTGAAGATACTACAATTGGAGTATGGAATAAATCAGGAAAAAGAGTTTAAGAATTAAAAGGTCATGGACATTGGGTCAATTCTATTGCCTTACATACTGATTACACAATAAGATGTGCTTGTTTTAGTGAAGGAAATACAGAGATTAACAGAAAATAAGCTAAAGTTCTTTTTGATAAAATGTTAAATGGTAAAAATGAAAGACTTGTTAGTGGTAGTGATGATTAAACTTTGATGCTTTGGGAATATACATCATCAAAACCAAAAGTTAGAATGACTGGACATTAATAATAAGTGAATCATGTATAATTCTCTCCAGATGGAAGATATATTGTTTCAGCTAGTTTTGATAAGAGTTTAAGAATTTGGGATGGTTACAATGGTAATTGGATTGCTACTTTGAGAGGTCATGTTGGATCAGTATATTAAGTTTCATGGTCTAGTGATTCTAGATATATGTTATCTGCTTCTAAGGATTCTACTTTGAAATTATGGTCTTTATAAAAAAAGAAGTTAGCCTTTGATTTACCAGGACATGCTGATGAAGTTTATGCTGTTGATTGGGCTCCTATTGGTGGTGAAAAAGCTGGAAGTGGAGGCAAGGATAGAAGGGTTAAGATTTGGAGACATTGAACTTCTTTTTTTCTTGTTAATATTATATTAAAGTGTATATCGACAATATAAAATGGGTTTATAAATTCTTAAAAAACCATAAATATCTTTATTTTATTAATGAGTCATCATCATAAGGCACATGATATTGCCAAAGTAGCAGCTGCTAGATTAAATGCAGCAGCTGCTTCAAGAAATTACAATGTAACACCAAGAGTTGATTACAGAACAGTAGTGAAGGTGGACGGCCCATTGGTTATTTTGGACAATGTCAAATTCCCTAGATATGCAGAAATTGTTAATGTTTGTTTGGGAGATGGATCTGTCAGAAAAGGGTATTGATCTATTTAATACTTTTAGATAAGTTTTGGAAATTGCTGGTAAGAAAGCAGTTGTACAGATCTTTGAAGGTACTTCAGGTATCGATAATTTGTACACACATTGCGAATTTACAGGTTCAACACTTTAAATGGCAATTTCTGAAGAAATGCTTGGAAGAGCATTCAACGGATCAGGAGTTCCTATTGATAAAGGACCTCCTGTTTTGGCTGAAGAATTCTTGGATATTCAAGGATAGCCTATTAATCCATATTCTAGAGTCTATCCTTAAGAAATGATTCAAACAGGTATATCAGCTATTGATTGTATGAACTCAATTGCTAGAGGATAGAAGATTCCATTATTCTCTGCTAATGGTTTACCTCATAATGAAATAGGAGCGTATGATTCTATATCTATAAATTTAGTTAAATTGTGCGTTAAGCCTCATTAGTTAAGGGTAAAGATGTACTTGATCATTCTGATGAAAATTTTGCAGTTGTATTTGGTGCTATGGGTGTCAATATGGAAACTGCTAGATTTTTCTAAACAGATTTTGAATAAAATGGTTCAATGGAAAGAGTCGTCTTGTTCATGAACTTGGCTAATGATCCAACAATTGAAAGAATTATTACTCCAAGATTGGCATTAACAACTGCAGAATATTTGGCTTACGAAAAAGAATTGCATGTTTTAGTTATCTTAACAGATATGTCAGCCTATGCAGATTCATTAAGAGAAGTATCTGCAGCAAGAGAAGAAGTTCCAGGAAGACGTTCTTTTCCTGGTTATCTTTATACAGATCTTTCAACTATATATGAAAGAGCAGGTAGAGTCTAAGGTAAGAATGGATCAATCACTTAAATTCCTATTTTGACAATGCCTAATGATGATATTACACATCCCATTCCAGATCTTACAGGATATATTACTGAAGGATAAATATTTATTGATAGATAATTGAATAACAAATAAGTTTATCCACCTATTAATGTCTTACCTTCATTATCAAGATTGATGAAATCTGCTATTGGTAAGGGTATGACTAGAGAAGATCATCCTGAAGTCTCAAATTAAGTATTAATTATTATTAAAATTAACTATAGTTATATGCTAATTATGCTATTGGTAAAGATACAGCATCAATGAAAGCAGTCGTAGGAGAAGAAGCCTTGTCTGCTGAAGATCTTTTATATTTAGAATTTTTGAAGAAGTTTGAAAATAATTTCATCAGTTAAGGAGCTTATGAAGTTAGATCAATTTTCAAATCTTTAGATTTAGCTTGGAGATTATTAAGAATCTTTCCTCCAGAAAAATTAAAGAAAGTAATCATTTATTTTAATGTAATTAGATTAACAAAAAAAATCTTGAAACATATTATTACAGAAGAAAGGAAGATGAAGATGACTTTGATGGTCCTTAATAATAATAAGAAAAATGATTATGATGTATCAAGTAGAAATATGCATTAATCATTAATAAAACTCTTTATTTATATTAACTTATTTTTTATAATATACTGATTTATTCGATCAAATAATTTCTACAAATGCCTTTGGATGTTAGAAAGTTGTTTATTTAGGAATAACAACTGTTGCTCCTCTTGGTTAAACTGGTTATCGCTTTGTTGAAATGACTTGATTATTTTTCTTTGCCTCAGTCTTTTTCTTATCATTTTCTTAGACTCTCTTGACAAATTCTTATCTGCATTTTGATGGTCTCAAATGATCAGCTCTAACATGAAAACGCTTTTCGACATATCTTCCTCTCACTCTTCTTTGTAAAGAGACACCAATTCCTCTAGGATTGACATTGAATACTCTTGCAGTTCTGCCATGATAATATTAAAATGGAACACCTTTGTGTTAAGCACCATCAACCAAAATATCGACAAAATCACCTTAAGATTATAAATTAAGTATTACCTCTTTTGAATGTTTAAAGGGTTTTTCTTATTGAAATATTTCCATGTCCTCTGAATGGTTTGGCAAATTTACTTCTTGTACCCTTTTTTAAACCGTAACTATGAGTCATATTTTGATAATTTAATTTATGGATTTGCTATCACATTTAAATATATATATATTTAACATAAAAATATATATATATATATGAAAGAAATGAATCTCATCATATATTCATTTTCCTTACTTTGATTGCATCTTATTTATCTGCCAATTCTTTAAGTAATGGCTTATTATGCATTAATTCTTCATTATTCATTTTATTTCTAGGTCTTTACTATGATTTTCTTTCATCAATTTATTATTTTAAAATATCTTGATGTTTCAAATTTACATCCTTTATGTAATTAAATTTTTATTTTTCATGTGTTTAATACATTTATAAATCTTATTACCAAACTTATGCTTATTTTTTATTTAATTCTTCCTCTTCTTTTACTTTCTATCTTAAATAATCATATTAAATTTACTTTTTATCTTCCATTTGTTTGATTAAATACTATCTCATTTCTTATTATTATTATTTTATATATCTTCTTTTTTAATCTTCATCATTTTATTCTATTTAATTTTGCATTAAAATAGCTTTTATCATTTTATCATCTTCAGCTCTATATCTAGATAAAATAATACTTTATTTAATCTTTTTGATTCTTTACAACTGTTTATGAAAAATCACTCATAATCTTTTTTATTTTATCTTCTCTCTCCTTCTTTTCTAATTCTCTCTCTTATTCTAATTTTTCCTGTAAAGCAATATGTTTTCTTTACATATCTATTTCTAATTATTTCTCTGTTATTTCATCATGCATTTATTTCTATCTATTTTTTTCATTTTCTTCCATCATTTCTATAAATTTTCTCTTCTCTATCTCTTTCTTTTAAATTATTTCCTTTTATTCTTATTTTAATTCTTCTTATATTTTTTAAACTAAAATTGCATCTTATTCTGATTATTTCTTTTTCTCTAAAAATCTTCTCTTTTCTTCTTCTCTAACTTATCTATCTCTTTATTCTTTTTCCAATTATTATTTTCTTTCTTTTTCTCTCTTTTTTTAATCTTCCCTTTAATCATAAGCATTCATTTAATAATCTCTTAATTTAACATAAGCTTCTTCCTATTTTTTTTCCATCTCTTATCTCCTTCTTTTCTCTTCTAATTATCTATCAAGTTCTGATTTCATTTTTTTTTTAAATTCAGCCTACCTTTACATTTCTAGTTATTATTCCTTTGTATGAAGTTCTGTATCAAATTTTACTAAAGCAGCCCATTCATCTTCTTCATCAACAACATAAACAGATTTTGGTGGTTTTTCAAATTACGAAGACGTTACAGAATATTAATCTGCATCTCTCTCAGATCTAACTGAATTCTTCACAGTTTAAGGTCTAACATTTTATGATTTCTATTCACTTCTATTATCAAATTAAATATTTAAGGAAGGATTTTATTAAGTTTAACTTTGATATTTTTATTTTTGAATTGTCTCTTAAACTCTTGCCTTCAATTATTTTAAAGAATTTTCTGTAACCTAACATTTTTTATTCTTGATACTTGCTCATTCGCGAAGTATTCATTAACTATTTACTAAATTAACACTTCTTTATTCTTGCTACCTTAAGCAAAATCTTTTGAAAATTTGCTAATCAACATTTCTCTCAATTACTCTCTTTGTTGAATTAATCCAGCTCTTTCAATAGCTGATTTTACTCTTGCTGAACCTGATCGAACAGTTTTACTTTTCTGAGAGTTATTCATATATAAATTAATTTGTAAATTTATTATTCAAATCCAATAAGTAACTTAATATTATTGTAATATATCAATATCAATTTTAACACTTAGTTTTAATACATAGTTTTATATTTTAGATATAATAAAAACTACCCTTTTATAGTTAAACAATAATTTCATCATATAATTTAATAAACTAATATAAAATAAGATCTTAATATTTTATTTCATTGAATAAATTATATTTCATTAACAAAAATCACTTATCCTTATAATTCATTGAGATATTATTGTTCTACAAGTAGGACATATCTTATCAACTTACAACCATAAAGTTAAGCATGCTTAATGGAATTTATGATTACAAGAAGTAGATATTAGTAAAATACTTGGTATTGGCATTAAACAAATTGGACAATCTTCCAATTCTCTGTTTTATAAACATAATGTTTCTAATTAAATATTTTACTATTAATATTATGATTCATTTAATTGACGCACTTAGGCTAATCTTTTTTGTTTTATTCTCTCGTAAAAATATTTACATAAGCAAAAAATTATCCCAGAAATTAATAATCCTATACTTAAGAATATCAATATAATAATAGCTTTATTAGAAGATTCATTATCATCCTTATCATGTTCCTCCTCTTCTTCTTCCCTCAATATTAGTTTAATCAACTCATAAGCATTCATTTATATTTACTCACATTAGTAATCTATTTATAAATTTGATTTCATAATTGATTCTTAAAAATGAGCTTTTCTAAATATTTTTGATTTTAAAAACCAATAATTTTTTAAATCAAAAGAAATAACTTTCTGATAAATAAAAATGAATATTTTGGTAAATAAGAAAGATTTAAATTTACAAAAATATGAAATTATATTATTTAGTTATATAAAAATAAGAGAATTCTATTTACTTTGTACAATTTTTATGCCATTAAATTATGGCAAATTGAAATTACTTTATAATAAATTACAAATTACTATTATTAAACATATAATCTTATTAATATCTTGATAAACCTTATTATCTACCTAATTGTTTAATAAATATTTAGAAAAATAAAAATGAAAAGCTTATAATCTTAATGTGTGAATTAAATATAAAGTAAATTATTTAGCTTATTCAATTTAACAAAATAACAATTACCAGTTTAATTGTAATTGATATATAAAAAATTTAAACCAATCATTAATAAAATCAATTAACAAACTTATTAAAAACTCAACAGATCAATAATTATTACCATATGATAAGATTTAAAAACTATGGTAATTTTTATAAATCCTTAATAGAAGTAAATCAATTTAATAGTTAATGGATAATTATAAATTTAAAATATTACTTAAATTCTTATCCACATTTAGAAATTAAATAAATCAGATTCCAAATTCGAATTATTTCATGTTGGAACAAAACATTATAGAATGAAAGTATAAAGACTAGAAATATTATATAATGTTAAGAATATTTTTAATATTGATTAAATAATAGAATTATAAAATTAAAAAAACTTACCTATATTTAAAATAAAAATACTTAAACTCTATAATTGAACTAATAGATTATTAAAAATTATATAATATATTAATGATCGATAATTAAATCATATTAATACCATTAATATTTGAAATTTTCTTCATATATAATGAATGATTAAAAGATAATTGTAATTTGTAGGTTTACATATTCTTAATTTACAATCCTAATGATTTAAATATAAAAAAGAATGACGATTTTTCATTTCTTTTAATAATTTATTTTATAATTATAGAAATTATAAATCAAACACATATAGTTGTAATATTTGTTTAATTTAAATTATGGATTAAGATTAATCAATCAAATTGGAGGATATTCAATATACAAATTTCACAGATTACAGTTAAATACCAAAAATAATGCCTATGATTGATGCTGAATTATCAGAACCATATTCAATTTACACTTATAGATATTTTCTTTATGGCTGGCCAGATTTGTCCATTTTTGCTTATTATAACAATGAAATAATTGGGGTGATTTCTTTTATCAAATTCCTAGGTTGTAATAGGAAAATTAGATAAACATAATAAATCAGGCAGAAATAGGGGTTACATAGCTATGATTGTAGTAGAAAACAAATATAGACGTCTTAAAATAGGGAGAATTTTAGCATAAAAATTTATTGACAAAATAAAAGAAAAAGGTTTGATTTAAAATTTATATAAGGTGGTGAAGAAATCGTTTTGGAGACTGAATAAACTAATTATGCTGCATTAAGATTATATGAATCATTGGGTTTTGCTAAGATGAAAAGAATGTAAAACTATTACATGTCAGGTAATGATGCATTTAGATTGAAATTATTCCTTGTGGACCCTGTTGATCCTCATTTAAAAAGTGAATGAAATACCAAATATTTTTTAAAGTATTGTTAAACAAATATATACTTATATATATATACTCAATGAGAATTAGAAGATCGATGGAGTAACATCAATCTTCATAATCTGAATTACAGATTATTATTGTAGAGTCTAAATCTTCTTCTATGTTCAGAGTTTTAGTTTTTTTTACTAACTCTTCTATAACCAAATGATCTATTAGGTATTCTCTGTTTTTCATAACTATTATTGGATCAAGGTTTTTATTTTCTATTTTATCAATGACATTATTCATACTTTTATTATTATTTGATTAATCCAAAAAACTGAATTATTAAAAACTCAATAAAACGATTTTAACAGTACTTATTTATTCGTCAAACACATACTACTCTATTTAATAATTCAATAAAAACATTTTTATTAATAAAAATACTATTTAAATACTAAAATTACTTTATAAAATAATTAAAAATTTAGATTATTCTATTCTATTCTATTCTATTCTATTTTCTTTTCTATATGATATTATTTTAAGTAAATGTCTCTATCAAAATAAGTCTAATACAAAGTTTAATATTATTGAAAATTTAATATATTATTATTAAACTAATAGAGATAATTTATTAATTTTCATATTATAAATAAATTATTTATTAAAAGGATTTGATGAATTTAATGATTGAATCTTATATTATTTGATTAAAGCTTAAAATAATTAAGATAAAACAAATGAATATTATAAAAATAGAATTTGTTAGATACTCCTAATTAACAGAGATATTGTGAATTATATTAATTTTTGTTACTACTTTTTTAATCATTTGCTGTGTAAAAGTTACAGTACTACAATATTACTTTTCTTATTGGATAAAATATTAAATTAGTGATGATGTATATTATATTTGAAATCGTAGATATGAATCAAAATTATATAATAAATTTTAGAATTGAATAGGAAATAATTAAATATTGATGGTTGCTAAGATATTAAAACATATATCATTATTTTTTTGATAGATAAAAGTCTTGAATTTTTTTTCCTTTCTTACAACTTTATTTAAAGAAAAAAATTGTTATTTATTTGAATATATTTTATATATTAATAATGGATTATAATATCTGCATATACAAATATAATCAAAATTAGTGAATAGGGCCATTCTGATTCTATTCAATTTATATAAAAAGAAAGTGTATTTATTTCTTTTGTTTAAAAAATAAATAAATAAAATGGACAAAAATATCTTTATATATGCCACTTTAAATTTTCAAATTAGGTTATTGATTGATATATTTGAATCAACAACAATCAAGTATGTTATGAGTATTCAGAATTTAATTTTTAAAGCAAAATTCAACTTTAGGCCAGTAAATGAATTGAATCATTATTTTAATTTTTCTAATTCAGAAATAAAATCGTTATTCATTACAAAAAAATATCATAAGAAATTAGTAAACATAATATCTATAGTGGTTGTTACATTATAATTGTTTTGATAATATAATATATAATAATAATATGATAATTAAAAATTCTTCATTTATAAGTAACCATTTCTTTTTTCGTTCTTTTATTAATTGCCTTCTATTTTTTAAATTTTCTTTTTATTTAAATCATTTCTTTAATAAAATCACCTTTTTGATGACTTTTAAAATATGGATGATTAAGACATTCATAAGCACTGATTCTATTATTTGATTCTTTTTAAAGCATTTAAGTTAGTAAATCATAAGCTAGAGGATTATTTAACTTAGTATTTTCAAGATGAGTCTCATTATAGTCTCCATTAATGTTAAGTTTAATTAAATCAGAAATATTTTCTAAGTTTCCAAATGGATTTTTGAATGTTAAACTAAGCTTCATTCATAGATATACATATTATAAAATACAATCCCTGCACTATAAATATCAACTTTTTCATCATATTTACATGGTTAACTAAATACTTCAGGAGCTGTATATCCAGGAGTTCCACATCTATAGTGATTTATTAAATAAATACCTTGGATTTATGTATAGGATTTCTGATTTCTTACATGCAAAGCCAAAATCAGATATTTTCAAAGTGTCCATTTTCTAACAGTCTTTAAATAAGATATTCTATAGCTTAATATCTCTATGAACGATATCCAAATCATGAAGATGTTTTAAACCTTAATTCATTGAATATTATGAATTACCAGANTATTAAAACATATATCATTATTTTTTTGATAGATAAAAGTCTTGAATTTTTTTTCCTTTCTTACAACTTTATTTAAAGAAAAAAATTGTTATTTATTTGAATATATTTTATATATTAATAATGGATTATAATATCTGCATATACAAATATAATCAAAATTAGTGAATAGGGCCATTCTGATTCTATTCAATTTATATAAAAAGAAAGTGTATTTATTTCTTTTGTTTAAAAAATAAATAAATAAAATGGACAAAAATATCTTTATATATGCCACTTTAAATTTTCAAATTAGGTTATTGATTGATATATTTGAATCAACAACAATCAAGTATGTTATGAGTATTCAGAATTTAATTTTTAAAGCAAAATTCAACTTTAGGCCAGTAAATGAATTGAATCATTATTTTAATTTTTCTAATTCAGAAATAAAATCGTTATTCATTACAAAAAAATATCATAAGAAATTAGTAAACATAATATCTATAGTGGTTGTTACATTATAATTGTTTTGATAATATAATATATAATAATAATATGATAATTAAAAATTCTTCATTTATAAGTAACCATTTCTTTTTTCGTTCTTTTATTAATTGCCTTCTATTTTTTAAATTTTCTTTTTATTTAAATCATTTCTTTAATAAAATCACCTTTTTGATGACTTTTAAAATATGGATGATTAAGACATTCATAAGCACTGATTCTATTATTTGATTCTTTTTAAAGCATTTAAGTTAGTAAATCATAAGCTAGAGGATTATTTAACTTAGTATTTTCAAGATGAGTCTCATTATAGTCTCCATTAATGTTAAGTTTAATTAAATCAGAAATATTTTCTAAGTTTCCAAATGGATTTTTGAATGTTAAACTAAGCTTCATTCATAGATATACATATTATAAAATACAATCCCTGCACTATAAATATCAACTTTTTCATCATATTTACATGGTTAACTAAATACTTCAGGAGCTGTATATCCAGGAGTTCCACATCTATAGTGATTTATTAAATAAATACCTTGGATTTATGTATAGGATTTCTGATTTCTTACATGCAAAGCCAAAATCAGATATTTTCAAAGTGTCCATTTTCTAACAGTCTTTAAATAAGATATTCTATAGCTTAATATCTCTATGAACGATATCCAAATCATGAAGATGTTTTAAACCTTAATTCATTGAATATTATGAATTACCAGAAAGGAGATTAAACATTAAAAGTGGAACATCAATTTAAATACTTTTCTTATAGAGTAATTTTAATAAATCTCCTCCTCTACAATACTCTAAAATAATTGAAACTGACTTATAATCTGTTAGGATTTCTTCCAATTAAATTACATTTTTATGAGAGTTATTATTTAACAGTCGTAAAATGTCTGCCTCTTATTTTAATTGTCCCTGTCATTATTAGATTATTAAATACCAATCTGCTACTACTCAATGGATCTTATGATAGAAATTTAGCCTTCTTTTCAACCGAAATTCTTTAAAGTGTTGAAATAAGTTCTAATATAAATATCTTTTCCTTACTTACTCCAGGAGCCAATTTTTCTAATACAATATAATTAGAAGAAGCCTAGAAAATTTATCTTCCTTTTAATCTAAGAGATAATTATTCTATATTCTTCATACTAAGGAGGAAAGTGACATTAATTTATGTTTCTGGATTATTAAGATCTAGAGTGCCCATTTATTTAACTATTAATGAAAAACATATATTACTTTCATCAATTTTTCTAGCAAAACAAAGTATTGTATCCATAGAATTTTAGGGTAAATAAACTAATTGCTCATTTCCATATTTTGTCTAAATACAATATATAAATAATAGTACTGCTATTTACAAAGAGCCATAATGAGTTGTAATAATTACTTCTTGAAATTAACTATCTTTCGTTAAGAAGAGTGCTGAGCATGAAAATAGGGACATGTAGATTTTTGAGTAAATTATTAGAATAACCTGAGGCATTATAAATATTCCAATGTGTTCTTAAAGGGGGGTCTAAATAAAAAATATATCCAGTAATAATTTTAATATAAAATTTATTTTTAATAGAATGTCTTTCTAAATTTAATGATATTTAAGATACATTATTACACTCTTAATTTGAATAATTCCAATTAATTCAATAAATATTTCACAGTTGTATTTTGAAACATAATTACAACTTTGAATGCTTATATCAGTAAAATTTTATTAAGTAGAAACAATTCATCTATTTATTTTGTTTTTACAATACGATTTCATCTTTACTATCTTAAGATTTATTCTTTATAAATGAAAAGTCCACTTTAAGTAATTTCACCTTCAATACAGAACCATTTATGATTAAATTCTAATAATTAAGAAAAAAAATAATTAAATCTTATAGTAAACATTTCATATTTCTATCTGATTAAAATTTTATATATATTAGTTTAGTAGTATTATTAGATCAAACTATTCTTGATCATAAATATTAATTGAAATAAGGTTTTGATAGGAATCTTAAAGCCAATTCAAATTAAGATTAATTATAAATATTATATTAGTAAATATTTGATCATAGATAATTTATTTTATTTTTTATTGCATTGTTTAAACTATTAAGAAAATTAAAATAATATTAAATGTATAATTTTCATTTTGTTGTCAATCCAAAAGAGAAAATTTAGTTTTCAAATCAAAAAGCATAAATTCAAATCTAAAACATTACTAGATATCATTTAGCATTTAAAGTATTCTTTTTTATAATGATAGTTACTTAGATTAGAACAACAAACAATGTTGATTTTAAAGTGATTGGAAATAAAGGTATCCTCAATCCAATGACTACAAATATAATCCAAATCATAAGCAATAAAGAAGTTGTATATAATAATATTCTAGAATATCGTAAAAGCTAAATTTTAGATTATGACAGTGATTATAAATCCTAACGATAACATTGACACTGCATTTTCAAGAGCGAATTCAGAACAAATCTAAATGGAGACATTGAAAACGAAGCCAACCTTTGGTGAAGACACTTAATCTTTAATTTCAGATACTTCTTTTTTCAAATCAACAGCAGCTCCTAGATAAATAGTTCCTCTTCCTCATATTGATCAAATTTAGGTTTCTACAAATGAAAAGAAGGATGAATTCTAGCCAACTATATTACATTTATTGTTTGTTGGAGCAGCCTGCCTTTTAATTGGCTACTTTACACATATGTTTAAATATGGTAATAAGAATTGTTGATAAATATATTTTTTAAACTATATCCAGAATAATAGTAAAATATTGTATGTTGGTAATCTACAAATATTAATTATATATATAAATTAAATGAAAAAACGAAATGATTAATTATTAGGGTTAATAGTATAACAAAATTTAAATGCCAATCCAAAAATTACATCTATTACTATTCCTGACAATAAACCATTAAGTTCATATAGTATTCTCAAACCTTAATAAAAAATACATATTTATAATAAGGATTATGAGTTAAGATATAATTACTAAAAATAAATAGAAGTAAGATTGAAATGTGGAAGAGATTGATAAATTATTATGAATAAGATCATCCATATTATGATTAAATGTTGAATAGAAAAAAAATGGATATTGTTAGATAAAATATCATACTAAGGTCTTACGTGTTAATACAGGGTAGAATTTGTGAATGTGTTTGGTAGAATAATAGGAAACATGGACATTGTAAAGAGATCTTTGATACAGGGGAAACATTTGAGGGAGAATATTTGAATGGAAAACTCTAAGGGAAAACAATTTATATTCATAATAACGAAAGCTATAAAGAACAATGGGTAAATGGATGTAAACATGGGAATGGAATTTGGAAGATGGAAAATGATTTTTGTGAAGGAGTATGGAAATTTGGTAAAATTGATGGATATGGAGTTTATATTTAGAATAATAAAAAATATACTGGAAGTTTTTAGGAATAATTTAAAAACATAGACATGGAATAGAAAATTTTATCAATTGTGATCTATATAATGGATAATTTTCTAATGGAAAACCATCCTTTGAATGAAGGTCATTATTGTTATGAGGGAATGTTTGAAAATGATAAAAAGTATGGATAAGAAATATTTACATAGCCATCAGGAAATAATTATGTTGGATCTTTTGTTAATAATTAGAAACATGGATATGGTGAAATGCTTTGAAAGGATTAATATAACAAGGGATATTAGGTAACATGGAGATTGTGAATTATGTTAGAACGGAGCAATTAAGAAAGCTAGATCTGAAAATAATGTATTAACAAATGAAAGAAGTAACAAGTATTTGGGAATCAGTAGAAAGTAATTTTTAATTAGAAAACAATTTAAATCAATTCTCTTCCTATTGCTTATCTTAGAGTAGTAAATATATGCCTGCAATTAGACGTAGAGAAAGTGGGGATAAAACTATTATTTTAGAAAGCTTAATTATCAAAGATATTCCTATAGAGAATGATCCTGATTACTTAACTATTTGTTCAGAACCAGTCAAACAGAAAAAATTCAAACCTAAAATGAATTATAGTTAGCTCTTGAAATTACACTTTAGTACTTTGAGAAAATGATTTTTTTGAATGTAATTTTTTTGATTATAAATCATGACTCTTTATTTCTCATCCAGAATTATTACTTTTATTTGTGATTAGTAAAAGCAGAGAAACCAAATATATGCCCAAAACTAAATAAGTCACTATTAAATAAAATAAAACAAAGTTTCTCAAACCATAGCAATCTTCAAATTGGAAATAAGCATACTTTATAAATCAATATTATATTACACTAAGTCCTATCAATACAATTATGCTTAAAACAAATTCTACTTTTTCTGCTATCTCAAAAAGCTTATGCTTCCATCTACCTAAGGCTTTATAATAAACTGGTAATTCTATCGCTCTATCTAGAAATTTGATTTTACAATTTGTAGATAGCTACTGTAAATAAATATATCTCTGCTACTAGTGACCAAAAGTTTATCACTTTGCATTCTTCTTCATCTCTTGATTAAAATTCAATAGCCTTACAATAACGATGTCTAAAAAAACAAAACAGTATTCCCCAAATACAATTGTAAATTATAGCAAAACCAATTGAGAATAATTAATTGTTTGTATCTTCAGAATTTTATTGTGATTTTCTCTCCAAATCAATTTCCTATTCTTAGTATTCTCTATTCATTTTATTTTTTTATATTAAATATAATTATATTCAAAATAACAATTATAATTTAATGAATAATAATTTTAAATATATTTTTAAGAATTTCTTATATTATATCCTTGATAAGTATTTTTAAGTTGAACATAATTTATTACAAATTAGATTATGTATAAATAAGTTATTCATTTATATCTATTATTAATTAGCAATAAATATAATAGTTATAAATTATATTTTATACTATTAAATAATAATTACTTTAAACATAATTATTAATAAATGTTTGGAACAAATTTATAGAAAGATTATGTTAATAATTAATAGTAAAACAACTCTTAAGGATGTTAAATAAATATATCTTAACTAAGTCATTCATATGTCAGATTCCCACTATAAAGTTCAATAATGAGTGTTGAAGAATAGAATCCACAATTTATTTAATTTGCTTAAAGCTAAATTTATATTTAAGAGAACTCACGCTTTCTAGAAGAAGAGAATTATAAACAATAAAATAAAATAACATAATAACCATAAAAATAGTTAGAATAATAAGTAGGACACAAAAGAATGACTTCATGGCAATAATAAAAATCACCTCAATAATAGTCCCAAAGTAAATCATTATGTGCTTCACCATTAAGATAGCAATATCGATAAGAGGAACCTTAAATGTACTATCATTAACCCTATTAACCTTGTCCTTGTGAATTANTTTAGTACTTTGAGAAAATGATTTTTTTGAATGTAATTTTTTTGATTATAAATCATGACTCTTTATTTCTCATCCAGAATTATTACTTTTATTTGTGATTAGTAAAAGCAGAGAAACCAAATATATGCCCAAAACTAAATAAGTCACTATTAAATAAAATAAAACAAAGTTTCTCAAACCATAGCAATCTTCAAATTGGAAATAAGCATACTTTATAAATCAATATTATATTACACTAAGTCCTATCAATACAATTATGCTTAAAACAAATTCTACTTTTTCTGCTATCTCAAAAAGCTTATGCTTCCATCTACCTAAGGCTTTATAATAAACTGGTAATTCTATCGCTCTATCTAGAAATTTGATTTTACAATTTGTAGATAGCTACTGTAAATAAATATATCTCTGCTACTAGTGACCAAAAGTTTATCACTTTGCATTCTTCTTCATCTCTTGATTAAAATTCAATAGCCTTACAATAACGATGTCTAAAAAAACAAAACAGTATTCCCCAAATACAATTGTAAATTATAGCAAAACCAATTGAGAATAATTAATTGTTTGTATCTTCAGAATTTTATTGTGATTTTCTCTCCAAATCAATTTCCTATTCTTAGTATTCTCTATTCATTTTATTTTTTTATATTAAATATAATTATATTCAAAATAACAATTATAATTTAATGAATAATAATTTTAAATATATTTTTAAGAATTTCTTATATTATATCCTTGATAAGTATTTTTAAGTTGAACATAATTTATTACAAATTAGATTATGTATAAATAAGTTATTCATTTATATCTATTATTAATTAGCAATAAATATAATAGTTATAAATTATATTTTATACTATTAAATAATAATTACTTTAAACATAATTATTAATAAATGTTTGGAACAAATTTATAGAAAGATTATGTTAATAATTAATAGTAAAACAACTCTTAAGGATGTTAAATAAATATATCTTAACTAAGTCATTCATATGTCAGATTCCCACTATAAAGTTCAATAATGAGTGTTGAAGAATAGAATCCACAATTTATTTAATTTGCTTAAAGCTAAATTTATATTTAAGAGAACTCACGCTTTCTAGAAGAAGAGAATTATAAACAATAAAATAAAATAACATAATAACCATAAAAATAGTTAGAATAATAAGTAGGACACAAAAGAATGACTTCATGGCAATAATAAAAATCACCTCAATAATAGTCCCAAAGTAAATCATTATGTGCTTCACCATTAAGATAGCAATATCGATAAGAGGAACCTTAAATGTACTATCATTAACCCTATTAACCTTGTCCTTGTGAATTAGAATAATTATGGCAAGAATTCTTATAAATGAGAATGATGTAAAGATAATTTAGTAGACCATCTTAGTAATGTTGTCATCATTAAAGAGGCTATTTCATGCCTTATTGATTACATTATTACTTTTATATATATATATTTCTATATTAAATTTTCACTCAATAATTTAGGATTGTTATTATTTATATTCGTTAATCCATTGTTAAAATATTGCTAGAATTTCTTGTCTAGCTTAAGTTAATTCAGGTGGATCTTATGGACTAGATGCCTTAAGATCAACACAATGTGAACAATCCTTGCATTTTATGTATTTAACATCATACTCTTTTCCTTATTTCCATTTTGTGATTGAAGCATGTTACCATGGGTCATCTGATCCATTAGAAAAAATAAGATGATCTACATTAATATCAAGACCACCAAAATAAGCATTAGTTCTCTCTTCATCTGGAAATATGGAAATGCCATAAGAATATTCACATAATTATCTAAAGAAATCAAGAACTAATTATTATGATCTAGTTGATTATTCAGCATTTGGCTATTTAATTTAAAATAATTAATTACATTAGCAGTTTAAAAGTAACCTACTTCAATACATGTCTAATATGTCCATTATCTTGAATTTTTAGTGAAATCAATAGTAATATCCTTTAAAAATTCAGATCCATAACTTTCTTGATTAACTGTTTCTTAAGCCATAAGTACTACTTCATCAAACCATTCTTATAAAGTTGTTCCTCTTTCTAATCTCTCACACATCTTGGATCTTTTTCTTCCTTAAACCATACCAGCATAAATATCTGCAATCATTGATAAGAATTCAATATCTTTTAATTCTGTTGCATTAAATGCTGCCTTTATAGTAACAGGATCAGTAGCTAAATCATCTTCAATCTTTTGATTTACTGATTGAATTCTATCTACACATCTAATTTAATATAAAATTTTGAGTACTCTTATGAACTTTCCAAGGCAGAAAGATAAACTTACATATCATATTCATGATAACAAGCAACTGCTCTTACAACTGCTGAAGAAGCCAATCCTCCAATTGTCAAATGAGGATATTTGTATCTAAACCAAGCACTTAATGCTCCTGGGTATGAACCTCCAAGATGAATCCAAGGAGTATCTGGTTTGATATTAAATCTTCCTTAAGCTTTAGTGTTCTAGATAAAATATGCTATATCATCTAAAGCTTAATGGATATTTAGATATTTTAAGTTTGGAGTACTCCAATCTCTAAATGGTTGAGATTAACCAAAATATCTATGTTCCAAAACAAGTATTATAGCATTCAATTATTGTGCAGCATCAAATGTTAAACCTTGTCCTATTCCGTCACCTATTTAATTTATATTTCCATATTACATGTCCATTCTCCACAAATATACAATATTACTGCTTCAGGTTAATTTCCTTATACATAATCATCATAAATGTGATATCTTTGATTAAACACTTCTTTCGATGTTGGATCATTGTGATCTAATTTCTGCTCGAACCACAATGTATTTTTGGCTTTGATAATCTCCTCTCTTCCAAATAAACCATTTCTATAAGTAAGCCTTCCCAATGATGACATCACTAGAACTAAAAGGATGACGATTTTCATTATTTATTATTTTAATTTATTATATAATATAGAAATTGTATATAGACAATTTAAGATACTAATAATGATATATTAATTTAATAAATAATATATATATATATTATGTAAGATCTTTATATATCAAAATATTTAATGGTACAAAATTGCAAATCAAATGAATAGTTATTATTTTCTAATGGAGTCAATTACCTTGAATAAAATTTGATCCGAAACATCATTATAATATGTTATTATATTGAATGCAGAATTCTAATCAGTTTTTTTAAGAATATGATTATTCGTCAAGATTATTATAATAGTTTACATAAATTTTATTACTTTTATGAACTCGAATTAAACAAATAATCAAAAGAAGCCTAAACCTAAATTGTAATTAAATGTGAATGTAGTTGATGTATAACCTGAGAGCACTCATTCTTCAGATGGTTGGAAATAATAAAGTGATATATTTTTCAATGAACCTATGTAATTTTATGTTTATTATAGTAAGTGATTAGTCCCTATAATTTTTACATAATGGTAAAACAATTGCAGATGTAGCCTAATTGAAATGTGGCAGGAAATATTAAGAAGATAGAGTACTTTCATCTCTTAATATAAGTTTGTTGCAATTCCTAATCTAAATTTAAACTAAGAAAAATAATTCTTTTATGCTATATATGATGGACATGCAGGACATTCAGTTTCAGCTATTCTCGAAAATAAGCTTCATGAATATTTATAGAAGGATTGCAATTTTGAAGATAATCTAGAGAAGGCCATTATAAATAGTTTTGAGAAAATGAATCAATATATCTTAGATTGTCAAGAAGAGAATTAACATTTAGGTGGATCAACAGCTCTTTGTGTAATAAATAAACATAAAGACCTTTATGTTGTAAATCTTGGAGATTCAGCATGTGTTTTGATAACAGATTAATATTAGATAGAGAAGTTAAATTTGGAACACAAATTAAATAGGGAAGATGAATTTAAACGAGTAGAATAGATAGCAACAATTTTGGATAGACAGTGAGATTTATTAAATAATGTAGTTCTATTCCAAGAATAAATGGAGAACTGGCTGTAACTAGGGCTTTTGGAGATAAAAAACATAGATAATCTGGTCTTATTGCTATTCCTGAGATAAAGGTACATAAAATTTAGGATAATGATAAATATTTGATTTTGGCTTCTGATGGGTTTTGGGATGTATAAAGAAAATGATATATAATTTTAGTTAATAAAAAATGAGGAATTATAGAATTTGATTGAAAATTGGAATAGGAAAGAGATTGATTAATTAGCCTAATATCTTCTTGACAAGGCATCATCTAAAAATACAAATTATAAAAAAGATAATATGACTTTAATTGTAATAGATATTCAATCTTATTGGAAATGATTATATTGATTAACTCTAATTTAATTTTATTGAATATATTGTTAAGTTATTCTTAACTAATCAATATTAAAATTAGTATATCTATATTATAGTGAATTATAAATTTTATAATTTCTCTCATAATAATTATTAATTTTCACTGGTTAATTATTATGAATATTTCTATTTTAATATATTTATAAAATTTGATCATGAATTAAGATTAATTGGAAAATGAGGGAGATCCATAACAATAATTTTTAGAAGTATTATATTAAATTATATTATATTAGGCTTTTAAAGAGCTATTGGAAGTACAAAATTAAAGAATGTATAATGGAAATGATATGCTAAATTAATATTGTCCTCAATTATAATATCCTGTTATATTGCCTACTCAAATTCCAAACACATTCATTGTATATAAGCATTCAAAATAAATTAGATAAATATGGGTCCATATTATCCTCATATATAATAACCTCAAATTCATCCATAGTAAACACAATAAGCAAGATTAGCACCATAAACTTAATAGAATTAAATTCATAATAATTAAAGTATCAAAGAAGAAGAACATGATGATAAAAAATAACCTAAGAGTTGGCTATAATAAAGGAAATGATGAACTATTATAAAATATTATTTTTTTATATCAAATTAAATGGGCTAAGCTTAAACTCAATAATAATAAGATATGTCATAAGCTAATGAGCATTTATTGTATTTGTAAAAGAGTAAGTTAAATAATTATATCTATTTAGCTGCCACTACTGCAGCACATTATATATATGGTAATTAAGAAGAAGTTCAATTTTAAGTTAAATGTCCTAAATGTAGAAGCAACTAATTCGACGATTAGTTAGGAAGAGTTACTAATTGTTTTTAGTGCAAACTGATCTTTTCTGTCAACGATGGCTAGATATAAATAAGACAAGATTCTACATAACTCGAAGACAAGAGAACCTTTTAAATGACTGAAGTACAGTTTCCTCATCTAGAAAACGTCACGTTCTATGTGAATAGGTTTTAATTTCATTTACTCTAGAACGATACTTGATCCAGCATTAATTAAAGATAATGTGATAGACTTTTAAAGATTAATTAAAAACGTACTTTTACCTTTCTTTTCTGTACGTCAAAGAGTTTTGGAATCAGGAATCAAATTCTCAATAGGATCCTTTGAATTTCGAGTAGTAGGTGGGTTTCCAAGTAAAGGAATTATTACAAAGTAAACATAAATCTACTGTTATGGATATTATATATAAGACACAACAAGGAAAGTCAAGATTTTATCTAAGAAGCCTTCTTAACAATTAGATTTTGAAATAAAGTCTTATTTTAATGTTAATCCTAAAGACAATTAGATAATATAGGATTCAACCATCAAAGTTAACTAGCAAAAATTACTGATTTTATAATGTGACAATTCATCAGGCAAAATTGATAGAAATTCTGTAAAAATTAATTTAATCTTTCTTAGATAATTGAAAGTATACCAAATGTATAGAATTTAAGAGATGTTAAATTATGCTGTATAAAAAGTCCAGCATAATTTTTAACTTATTAATCTCAAAGAGATCGTAGTAAAGAAGCAATTAGAAGAACCATCATTAATCCTTACTTCTCAGGCTTAACTAGATTCTTAGAGAAGGGTTAGATTTTGAGAATTTCAGATTTCGAATTTTAAGTATAAATGTTTGAAGATCATGGACTCGTTGTACCTAATTACACTTAAATTGATATTGATATACTATCAACAACACAACAATAGAGAATTTAATAAAATAGATAATTTGAATAATTATTACCTCCTAGTTTAGTACCTAATAGAAGAAATGATATTCATAGATAACATGCATAATAAATAGAAGCACTTCATCGATTATTAAATACTTTCATTCTTTTAAATGAGAATTAACAATTACTACTTTCACTCAGAAATAATAGAACTTCTGAAGAATAGATTAATTTATTACCAGTACGTTAAATTAGTATGGAATTTATAAATTAACATTAAAATGATGACAATCTCATTAAATGTATGATTTGTTTAGAAGATTACTAAGAGAATTAAATTGTTCGTACAATGCCATGCTGTATAAAATATTTATTATTATATAGGGCATTACTTCCACTAAGAATGCATTGATAAATGGTTACACAAGAGTACATTATGTCCTATTTGTAAAACTGAAGTGGATTCAGAATTATAGATGGAAGATATTTCGATGCAATTTCATGAATGAAAGAATTATAATCAATAAATTATATAATCTATTAATTTATTATTAAAACCATTTTCTTATATTTAGATTTAATCTATTCATTAATTTAAACTATGTTGATTTAATAATAAGTAATTAAATAAAGCATTGAATTTAATTAATAATTACTAAACTCGTTAATCTTAAGTATCTAAAAAATTAAAGAAAAATATATAGTATATCTAAAATAAAAGATAAAGTTGTTATATATTATCTATCCTATATATATAAGAGAAAATCTTCAATTACTATAAAGAAATAAATATACATATAGAATATGAAATGGAAGAATGACTATAATTAATTTTTGATATGCATAATAATTATATAGAAAGTAATACCTATAATCAATTTATAATGATATATTATTAAAGTGGAAAAGAAGTTAGATGATCTCAGTATATTTAAATAGATTACATATTATTCAATCCTTTAAATTAATAATAATGTAAAAATATTTCTTTATTTGCGTCATATTGATTACGCTAAATGCATTAGATAATGGATTAGGCAGAAAACCTCCTATGGGTTGGAATCCATGGAATAAATATGGCTGCAACATCAACGAAGAAATTGTCAGATAAACTGCTGATGCTTTAGTCTCAACTGGATTGGCAGCTGCAGGATACATTTACTTAAATTTAGATGATTGCTGGTAATCAGCTAGAGATCCTGTTACCAAAAAGATTATTGCAGATCCAGTCAAATTTCCATCTGGAATTCCATCTTTGGTCTAATATGTACATTCAAAAGGATTGAAATTTGGATTATATTCAGATGCTGTAAGATTATATAAATATCATATAGGGTATGTAAACATGTGAAGGCAAGCCAGGTTCATTAGGTTATGAAGAAATTGATGCAGAAACATATGCTGAATGGGATATTGATTACTTAAAGTATGATAATTGTCATACTGATGGTACATCTCCAAAGGTAAGATATCCCCCTATGTCTGCTGCTTTAATGAAATAATCTAAGAAGATCTATTTTTCAATGTGTGAATGGGGATTAGAGAAACCATGGTTATGGGCACCACCAATAGCTAATTCATGGAGAACTACAGGAGATATTTCAGATCATTGGTATTCTTTTATTGGTAAGTATCATTTTTTATTAATAAGCTATTTTGGAAGAATAGGCTAATTTAGCATAATATGCTGGACCAGGATAATGGAATGATCCAGATATGTTAGAAGTTGGTAATGGTGGAATGAAAACTCATGAATATTAAGCTCATTTTGCATTGTGGGCAATTTTAAAGGCTCCACTTTTAATTGGTTGTGATATTACAAATATGAGTTAAGATACTAAAAAGATATTAATGAATCGTGAAGTAATTGCTGTTAATTAAGTAATTAATAATAATAAACTATTTTTTAGGATAGTTTAGGTAAATAAGCTACTAGAGTAAAGAAGGTTTTGACAAGTGAAGTATGGGCTGCTGAAGTTGCTGATAATGGTGCAGGAGTTGTTGCTGTTCTCTTTAATTAAGCATCAATATAAGAATCAATAACTATAGAATTTGATAAATTAGGAATTAGTGGACCTCAGAATGTTAGAGATTTAATTAATTAAGTTGATTTAGGATAATCAACAGTCAGTTACACTTGTTAAGTTCCTGGACGTTCAGCAGTTATGGTTAAGTTTAGATCTGTCCAATCTGAATAATGATAAATACAAAAATTAAATTGTAAATCATTAATATTCTGGTTTGAGTTATGTTTTATATTTCTTAATAATCTTCTCGATCTTAGGAGATATTACTGCTCTACAATATCCTTCATTTTAATTATTATCATAATAATCCTAATGATAATCTTCAGCTTTATAAAATTCTTAAAATTCAACAACTTGAGTTACTATTGGATTCTTGTATTCTTTTTGTAATTCCTTAATTACTTCATTGACTATTGCCTTCTATTATTCACTATGATAAAATATAATTGAACGATATTATTCTCCTTCATCATTACCTTATCTATTTAAAGTGGTTGGATCATGTGATGCAAAGAAGATATAAAGTAAATCTTTATAATCCACTTTATTTTGATCGAAAAGTACTTAAACTACTTCAGCATGACCTGTATTCCCTTTACATACATCTTTATAATTGGCAGTGCTTTTTAATGCACCTCCACTATATCCAGAATAAACATCACTTACTCCTTAAATTCTTTTGTAGACAGCTTCAATACACCAAAAGCATCCACCTCCTAATGTTGCTTTATTTAGTATATTCATTATGAGTTAATAATAATAATAATAATAGAAAGAAATTGATAAAATTGAAGAAATATAAGATTAAAGAATATCTAAATTCCTAGAAATTAATAAAAATATAAAATCATTATATGGAGACAATTATTTCACATGCTTAATCTTTTTCCTCCTTTTTTAATAATTTATTTGGATGGCTCTTATTTAGGAATTCCACTATTTACTATTGCACGTAATCTTAGATTTCTTTTTGTCGAGGGAATAACTTTATCATTGTATTGTTTATCATAAAATTGTTATACAAAACATTTAACTGCTTCATCATTCTAATCAATTTAACTTGCTTATCTTGTATGAGCACTAGATGGAGTAAATAAATATTAAGATGAATTGAATTCTTCAGCTAATTCTAATTTATGATGATTAAATCTTATTAATTATGATGTTACTTCATTATTTTAATTAGTTGATTTTGTATCCAATTCTTCATTAATAGGAGTTTAATTCTAAAAAGCCATAATTAAATTAGCTCCTTTTTCAATAGTACTAATTGTTGTTTATCTTTTAAAACTTTTAGTTGGACTTAAATATTATGAATTTTCAGTTTTTAATTTTATCTATGTATTGACAATAGGATCAAAATTAATTCTCAAATCATTTAATTAACCTGAACGATGAGTTGATATATAATCAGCAAGTTCATAAAATTTCATATTGCCTTATTCAAAATATTTTTTAGGTTTCTATTAATTTTCATATAATTCTTAAGATATTTTCCTTATCCTATCTAAACTATCTTTACTAAACACATCTATTTTAGGAGGTCTTAATGAATCAGCATAATTTTTGACTGCCAACATTTTTTATAAAAGTACAGCATTCTTCTTTTTTTCATATTTTTCATATTATTTCAAGATTGCTTCTTCAGCTGGAGTTTATTCTTCTACTAAATCTAATATTTCATTACGATACAAATACCTTTAGAGTCTCTGTAACCGCTACCTAAATCATATTTCATCATAAATCCTGGTTGCCATCCCTTTTCTCCTTATAAACGATTAGGATGTAATTTTAAAACTTTATGACCTGGTGGACCAATAGATTTTTGAGTTTAATCTATCTATATAATATTATAAAAATATATTATACCTTACAAAAATTCTTACGGCAAAATTAACGTGCTTAAACTTTATCACAACCACTTTCTCTCAATTTCAAATAAAGCATTACATTTGAATTAGAATTAGCAATATTTAGTTTTGTGCACATAAAATAATTATAATAATAAAAATTATAAATGGCTGAAGAAATTGAGCCTCACATAGCTAGAAAATTTGAAATAATTTAAAAATTAGGAAAGGGTGCTTATGGAATAGTATGGAAAGCAGTTGATAAGAAATTAAAAACTGTAATCATTTTATTTTTAAAAAATTCCAAAAGGTTGTTGCATTAAAAAAAGTATTTGATGCCTTCCATAATGCAACAGATGCTCAAAGAACCTTTAGAGAGATTATGTTTTTATAGGAGTTAAATGGACATGAGAATATTGTTAGACTATTAAACATTATTAAAGCAGAAAACAATAAGGATATCTATTTAGTATTTGATTATATGGAAACTGATTTACATGCAGTTATTGTATAGTTATTCCGCTTAAATAGCGTGCTGGAATTCTAGAAGAAGTGCATAAGAAATTCATTATTTATTAGATTTTGAAATCTCTCAAATACATACATTCAGGTGAATTGATTCATCGAGATCTCAAACCATCTAATATCTTACTTAATTCAGAATGCCATATGAAATTGGCAGATTTTGGATTAGCTAGAAGTATAGCAATAAATGAAGAAGATAGCAGTAAACTATCAAATCTAAACCATAGCTCCTCCTATTTTGACTGAATATGTGGCCACTAGATGGTATAGAGCACCAGAAATTCTTCTTGGATCCACTAATTATACAAAGGCTGTTGATATGTGGAGTATAGGATGTATACTTGGAGAATTAGTTATTGGCAAAGCAGTTTTTCCAGGAACTTCTACTGCAAATTAGATAGAGCGAATTTTAGAATTAAATGGTAAGCCTTCTGATTAGGATGTTGAATCATTAGAATCACCTCTTGCTTCACATATATTATCATCTGTTGCTATAATAAAAAGGAAATCATTTTAATAATTCTTTTAAGGTGCTAGTGATGATTGTTTAGATTTAATAAGAAGGTAATTATTAATTTATTAAATTTAGATTATTGGTTTTTAATCCAAAAATGAGATTAACTGTTGATTAAGCTATTAGACACAAATATCTTAAAGAATTCTCATCTCCTGAGGAGGAAATTGTATGTCAGGAACCAATCAAAATACCAATGAATGATAATAAAAAATTCTCAATTAAAGAATATAGAGAAGCATTATATAATGATATCAATAGAAGAAAAAAAGAATAAAGAAAAAAGTGGCAAGCGAAATATTTATAATAATTAGGAATGAATCCTGATGATTTGATTGATGGAAATCAAATTATCAATTAAACTGATTAATAATAATAACCAGTTTCATTTTTTTAGAAATCAAATAAAATTGAAAATCAAAATAATTCTTAAGTTGTTTAAAAATCTAATATTGAAGAAATTTAATAAATTATCAGATAATAACAAATATAATCTTAACAATTAAAGAAATCATAGAGTTAAGTTATAGTTTAACCTGCACAAAAATTGACTAGCCAAAAAAGTGCATCCAATATTGTTGCATAAATATATAATAATTTCTCAAGTCAAGATTCAAAGTTTCATCAACAATAATAGTTTTTGCAACAATAATTGTAACAACTCCAGCAGAAATCCCTTAAAAAAAAGACATGATATATTAATTTAATATTTATACACGTAAATGACTAAGGAAAGAAAAGCCTTTGAGAAACAATTATATCCTCTTTATCACTTTTATCATAAGCACAAACATGTAATTCAATTGAAAAAGATGCTAATATTAAATATTAGAAGAAAATATCAATCTTCTAAAAATAAGATTTCATTAAATTGAAAACATCTATTTTGAAGTTTAAAAAAATCTTCTTCGTAATAAAATGAAAGATGCAGCTTCAATTGTAAAATATCTTAATAAAAATCGTTTATAAATTCAAAAATTGACCTACTGGCAAAGACTTTTAAAAAAATTAGTCAAATCACAAAGATTATATTATTTAGCCTTATTTGAAAGACTAAACCTGAAATAATGAGGGATTTTATTATATTTGGAATATGATTGTAAAAAGCTAGATCTATAATCCCCTATTGTAGGCATTCTCCTTTAATATTTATTGTTTTCCTATATTTAATATGGCCATTTGTATTTAAATATTATGTCTGTGTTACATTGTATATTTTAATATTACTAATTATCTTACAAATAATAAGTTTGATTTTCCATATAATTTCAAGATTTTTAGAATATACTATATTGTTTTTTCATTCTTTTAAATGATATAATAATAAACTAGATTTTCAAACCAATTATATTCATACAGAAATTTAGATTCATTTAAGTCGAAATATTTTATTGTAATCTACATAATCATCAAGAAACCATCAAATAGAACAAAAATATTAGAAAGCAAGCAAGCAAACTATAAATTAATAAGGGTAAATCAGTAAAATTAAACAATAAATATAGGAACCATATTGTAGTAGAACTATTCTAGGATTTAAGTGAATTGATAAAATAAGCAGAAAAATAAGATTTGTAAATCGTTAAAATAATTATAATATCTAGGATGAAATAGATTAACAATAAAATATTTACTTATAAAGTGATAAACTAAATAAATTGGAGAATGATCTTCAAGAGAATAGTCCATTAATGAATATATTTTATATAATTAAATAAAATTTACATGCTCTAAGAAAATGATACTCTTATTATTTTAATTCTATTACTCTATGTAATATTTAATTAAAGATATTGTAAGGAATTATAAATACAAGATGAAAGATTAAGTTAATCCTTTAAATTCTTTATCTAATCAATTAATAGATAAATACAAGACTTTTTTATAAAAATAATAAAACTTTAAGGTCATAAGAATAATCAATTATATAATAAAATAACTTTATTGATATTGTGATATAAGGATCATTTGAATAAAATTAATTAAGTTAAATAATAACAAATTTAAAGAATTAGACAAAAAGAAGTAAAAACTTAAACATTATAAAATCAATCAGGATATGTTGATGAATAGTAAAATTATATTTTGAATTATAAACTTTAAAATTGTTACCAATCTGAATGAATTGCTTAGTACATATATTTGATGTTATAATTTTAATTTTAATATATAATTTGATGTTTTTATAAGCCATAAAAGTTAAGGATTGCAGGTATTGTGCACAATAATGAAGATTGGAGCCTATTCAATTAAAATACAGTCCATAAGTACCTCGCCAACATACCCCTGAAGGATTGAGCAAGATTGGAATGTTCAACAGCACTTTATTTTAAGGAAAGAAATCAGTTGAGAAGAAAAAATAAAGTACTTAGGGTGATCAAAGAAGACCTTAATCTTCATTTTAAAGGATTACTAAACCAGCCTTTTTTAAAAATGTGTTTACAGTTTAATATATTGTAATGCTTAACATAAAAAGGATAGTTTTTTTGTGAAAATGGAAATAATGGAAATTTGGTTAGAAGAATTTTGTAAGGAAGAGGATGGTTTGGTGAATAATAAACAAGTTATAAGTAAATAAATGATAGATATTTAAAGTGTGAATTTTATTTGGAGATAATCAAATAAAGGTTTCAATTATTCAACGTTAACATCGAAAAATGTTTGCATAAATCATTTAGAACATCATAATGAAATATCAAATAAAAATAAATTGCATGCTAATTTAAAATCATATTGTTAAAGAACAAATAAGAATATGGATGATTTTGTTCCTACAACTTTCATAATCAATTTGGATTCAACAACTTTACAAAATGATATTAAAAAATTTGTAGATTATTTCGTTGAAATCAAAAAAGATAAACTTCTTAAAAACGTTTGGTTACTCAAACCACCTGATTTAAATAGAGGAAGAGGAATATAATTATTCTCTGATTTAAAAGTCTTAGTAAATCAAATTGATGAATTTTGTAAAACAAGGAATGTTAATAAATAAATAATGTCTACATCTAAAGCTGCTAAAACTTTAATCATAACATATCCAGAATCAAATGAAAGTACTTAAAATGTTCAACTTAGAAACTGGGTAAGCTCAGATTGAGTTTACATTAGATTAAACTCCCAATTAAGATAGAATACTAGTTCTATAAAAGTATCTTGAAACACCACTTCTATATAATGGTAGAAAATTCGATTTTAGAATTTGGGTATTAATTGATCATACTTGCAAATATTATTTTTTTAAAGAAGGGTAGAATATTAATATTAATCCAGATATTTACGATTGGCAAGTGAACATTTCGATATTAACAATCTAAAGTCTTTATTTATACATTTGACTAATAATGCTGTACAGAAAAATCATCCTCATTATTGTAAATATGAATTAGGAAATTAATTGAGTTTCTAAGACTTATAATAGTATCTAACATAATAAAAGAATACTAAAATAACTTCAGTTGGGATTGTGACAAAAATGAAAGAACTCATTCATTAGACTATTTTCTGTGCTAGTTCTAAATTGCGAAATAGTTGATATTGTGTGATTATTATTTTAGATCGTAAAGATTATCAATTTGAAATCTTTGGATATGATTTTATGATTGATAACAATGGAAACCTTTGGTTAATTGAAATAAATACTAACCCTTGTATTGAAGAGAGTAGTCCTTTATTATAAAAATTAATTCCTAGGATGTTAAGTATTGTTTATTTTTATTTTAGATGATGCTTTTAGATTAACAATTGATAAAATATTTTCTCCTTTCAAAACATCATAAGAAAACTTTCTGAACAATCTTCATGAATTTAGCATACCAGGATATAGTGATAAGGATAATCTTTGGGACTACATGGGTTAAATTTGATTTAAAATTATTAATAATAACAATACTTTATTATATGGGTCTTTAGTGTGCAAAACAAAAAGAGAAATAACCAATTAAAGCACTTGAAATAAAATAATCAGATAGTACACCTTAAACTCTTAGCACCACCAAAGAGGCTATTGATTTTGTAGAAAGTCAATCATTAGCAAATGTAATGAGAACAAAGCCAATCAAAGAATATTTAACGGAGTAGATAGCAAAAAATTAAATCTATGTTGATTCATGTGACATATTAGCAGAAAGAATTGAAGGCAAATCATAATTGATACTTAGATCTTACAATAACTATACTGAGAAGGCTTTAAAAATTAAATCAAAAGTGTTAGAATATTACAGAAATGAGTATACAAACTATATTAATTCTAAAAATGATACTCCTTAAAATAGGGAGTTTATCATGAAAGAAACTATTTAAGTATTCTTGTATCTAATCTATTATTATAGTTACTTGTGGAAACAGCTATCATTCTGAATTGTTTAATGGATAAAAACTTTGATGATGAGACTGAATTATGGTGGGCAAATGACTACTATAGTGATCGAATATAAGCCTTATCTCTTTCTCATGATACTTCAGAAAATACAGATCCTATCACAACTCCAATCTTACAATATTTAAATGCTTTAAAATGCAGAATACTTTAAGTGATTCCACTATTACCAAACTAACCTAAGTCTATTGCAAATAGTGTAGCAATTGCTAATGTTCATTTGACTTAGTTTTATAAAGATCTAAAACTGGAATTTGCAAAAGATGTAGAAGAAGAAGTCAGCTGCTGAATTTTATATTATATGTTAAAGCTTTTATATAATATTAATCAACTCCAAGATAATTTGATAACTTTTTAATATTTTATCCTAATATTATGCTTTCATTGTTTTTCTTAAATATTATAATAAAAATGAATCCATCACTTATATTTCTTTTTAAATAAATCATAAAAACCTTAGAAAACCTTAGAAAATATATTTTTTATTTTTTTAGATTGAATTCTCATATTTTTTTCTGTTTTTTTAAAAATCAATTATAGAAACATCATTTTCGATGATTGAAAAATTATATAAATTAAATTCATAATAATATTTTAATAATTTATTAATATTTTATTTGTTTAATAATAATTATTATTATTATTATTATTATTAAATACTTATCTTTTCTCTTTATTAATGATTAAGTAATATCATATTGATTAAAATTCTAATTAAATTGTTTATAAATATATTAATATAAAATTATTCTTTCTTTTTTTTTAAATTTAAGAATGTTAGTTGATTGAATTATATATAAATAATGAATTCATAATATTTTTAGTCACCTTTACTTTTATCCCCCTTAATAAATTCCTACTACTTCTACTAAACTTTCCCTATTTTCTACTCCTTATACAAGTAATGTATGTGTTACAGGTTTTCGACATAACATACAATAATTACTCTTTGATAATAATTATTAGGAACATTCTTAACAAAATCCTCCATGACCACAAGGCTAATTAATCATATTACTTTCTTTTTCATAACAAACAAGACATAATAGATTCTATTTATATTATCCTCTACTGGACAACTCTGGAGCCATACTTTCACTAACTTCTAATTTGATTCTTGGAGATGATAGTAATTAATCAAATTTTTTAGTTAAGTCTTCATCTAAATCTTATGATGGACTTTTTTTTATTTCTTTTTATTTTTTTATATCAGAATAGCTAGTTGATCGAAATTTTTTATCTTAAGATGAACCTAATTCATTCTTATTATTTTTTTAATTTTCATTTATTTCTTACTTTCTAAAATAAGTGGCTGACAATTTCACCATAAATTATGGAACCTTACTTATACTAATTCTATGAATTTCTTTAATTCTTTCTTTTAATGTAATTTATTCATTAGGCTATTCGGATGGTCTTGTTTACTATTATGCTTCTGATAAATTTAAAAATAAACTACAAATAATAGATGATACTACATTAATTCTTCTTAGTTTTTGAAATAAAAAAATATCTGAAATATATAGAAAACTATAGAAGTAATGAAACCATATAAATTAACCTATCCAATATTATAGTCCAAGAATAATCCTAATCCTAAAAAAGTCAATCCTATATCAATAATAAATCCTATAATAACAATATTCACCCATACTCCTCCAAAAACTAAAAATATACATTTTTCTTACTCAATTGTTTCCTATTTTAAAGTTAATTGTTACAACACTTTAAAATCAAATCTAAAATTAGACATACTTCAATCAATGTCATTGTACCAAGAATAAACCAAATAATTACTAGAGTTTACATCCAACACCAATTAATTTATTGACTTAATTTTAAACTTAAAAATACGATCTATAATGACCCTACACTTTTTATTGCAGCAACCAACTTTTAATAGATCTTAATATATACTATTTCTTAGATTTATTTTGATTGATCTTAAGCATCACTCTCAACACTTTATCTACTTATTAAAACTGTTATTGCTAATATTACAAATTATAAGATAAGTAGAGCATAACTAATAAAATTTATATTAATTGCTGAGACTTCATTATTATAGACAATTCCTAATAAATAGGTAATTAAAAGAGCACTTTCTAATAAGGCAAAACAACAATAAGAATTGACGCTAATTTTTAAATTCATAGGCAAATACCCTTTATATGAAAGCAATTTTGATATCATAAATGCGAATTATGTAGTGCAAGTATATACAATAATTATTTTATAATCCCATCCAAATGTTATGTTTGTGTTAAATAAAAAGCAAAATCCCATAATAATTGACACTAATAAGAATATCTTTTTCACTACATATATTTTACAGATTTTAATTCTGATTTGGCTTTAGATCTCTATACATCTTCCTCGGTTGTTTATTACATTTATTCAAATTATATACTTTATTATAATTTATAATAAAAGACATTGAGAGGATATCTAAATACAGAAATTAAACAAAATAATAAATACTAATATTAAAGATAATTATCCATGTATATAAATTATATTATTAATTTTACTTTTAAATTCCTAATAATTATGTTAAAATCATTTTATTACAGCTTTATAAAATTAAATTTTTTTCTCCCATTTTACTCATGAATTTTTGTACAATAAAGTTCTCATATAAAATGAAATTCTAATAGATTTATTTTTAACTAAAATTTCAGATGATTAGAGTTATTAATAAAGTGTATTTCAAATTAATAAAAATATGATTTTCAATCACAATCATATATGGATCATATCACTGTGAGTTACATTTATTCGACTAACACTGAATTTCCTAATTCTAAAGCAAGATTTAGCATATCTGCTATTTTCTGCTTTAGTTTTGTTATCTCAGCATCTTTTTATTGAATCAAATTAAAAATATTTTATTCCAATTAATAATTCAAATATTTTTATATGTCAGATTATTTGGTATCTTATTCATTTACATTTTCTTAAGGAAAATATAAGAGAAATGTATTAAATTCATCTGATTTTATAGAATTTGATGTCAAATTATCATTAATAAATTTTATTCTATACTGATATAATAGTTATTCTAATTGAGTAAATTATAAATGATAATCTTGAATGTATTATTCAATTTTGTTATGATATTCATTCTCAGAATTTGAATCCTTATTTAAAATATCATTAAAAGCAAGAAATTTTAATGAATTGTTCAATTACTTTAAAATGTCTCCTAATATCTATTTTTGAGAGGATTCTTTTTCAATTAATTTGACTATTGAATTACTCCATTATTTATATAAAAATATGGTTTATTGAATATCAGAGTTCATTCTATAATTTTATTACTCTAATTCTAGACAACGTTTATTTAATAATAGTATGATTTAAGTCTTAGATATTATTTCTTTATGCAACTATTAAATTTATAATTCCTATTATGACTAGATCTTAAACGAATCTTCAACTTATTTCTTTGATTTTGATAAAGCTTATCTTAACAGTAACTGTTATTAATTCAATATTTAAATAGTGTCTTATAAGGATTTCTATTATTATTTTTCTATCTCTAGAGATTTCATTAATGAAAATTATTCTGATTATTTTCTAAATTTAAGTGAAAAATTTACTTGTCTATAATTGAAGATAAGTATTGAATTTTTTCAAATAAATTTTAAGAACTGTGTTTAAAAAAGGGTTCTGAACACTAAATAATAATAAACCTTATTTACTTTCAAACACAATTTAGATCTAAAAGAATTTAATTCTTTTTTTAATAAATAAATTTAATCCATTTAATTATCATGTATTTATAAAAAATGCTGTAACTTTGATTTCATAATTTTTCTAAATATATTGATTTCTGTTGATAAATAAGAATGGAGCTCTCCTTTTTCTTTAATCTAAAGAGATAATAGCTCATCTCCTAATAAATTTAATTCTTTAGCAATATTTGTATATTTAGATTTCCAGTTTTCAAGTTCTTTTCTCAATTAAATTAAAATTATATTTTATTCATGTTAAATCTCAGAAGTTGCAATGTTTATAGTTGTTCTTTATGAATTTTATTCAGTTTGATTTAATACTTTTAGTTTTAATTTAACTTTTGAATTCAACACCGAATTGTTATCTAATATAACTTTCTCCTCAGTCTCAATGTAAGAATCATTATAATTTTAGATTTCAAGATTAAAATTCAGCAATTTAGTTAAATTGCAATCTACTCTACCTGCAACCTCATTATTCAATAGAAGTAAGAGTTCTAATTTATTGAGGTTAGAGTTTATCGACCGATCTTCTAAAGAGATAAGATGGGTTTCATTTATAGGAATAGAACCTTTACATATTTCATATGAATTTGTTGTAATTGTTGCATGTTCTGAAGTATAAGAAATTAACTACTTGTTTTGATTTAGAATGCTATTAAGTCAGACATTGTAGAATCTGATTAAAATTCTTATATAGTAATCTAAAGATGAAGATGTTCTTCCATGTTTTTCATTTAATAAATTACGAAATTTGATAATTTATAGGATTTATTTATAAAAATAAATGTACTTAGAATATCATGTTATATTGGAAGTATTTGATGAGAAAAATGAAAATAAGATAATATTTTAGATGAAGACCATAATATATTAGATTTGATTAAGTTGCTAAGAATAAAAACAATTAGATTCATTAAGAAGAGATGTAATTTATTGAGTTAAATTTTATTTATTATTTAACAGTTAAAAATAGATTAATGGAACACTATAGGAAGATAGAATTAAAGGGAAAAGGTAGTTATGGTCAAGCTATATTGGTTTAAAATAAATAAGATAGAAAGTTTTATATAATGAAGGTAATTTTAATTCTATAATAGATTATAGATGCATCTAAATTTGATATTACAGAAAAAGAAAATGCACTTAATGAAATAGATGTATTAAAGAATTTACATCATCCATGTATAATAGAATATAGGGAATCATTTGTGGATAAAAAGTATATTAATTTGTATAAGTTAGTAAATATTTATGTATTGTGATGGATTATGCAGAAGAAGGAACACTATATCAAAAACTTGAATAATAAAAATAAAGATAGGAATATTTGAAAGAGTCTTAAATTATAGAATGGTTTACATAAATTTGTCTGGCTGTCAAATATATTCATGATAGACGAATAATACATAGAGATATTAAAACTCAAAATATTTTTATTTCAAAAGGAGAAATAAAACTAGGAGATTTTGGAATTGCTAAATCATTAATTAATACTGAAGATCTATGCTAAACTGCTATTGGAACTCCATACTATATAAGTCCAGAAGTATGTTAAAGAATTCCTTATGATTATAAATCAGATATTTGGAGTTTAGGTTGTATGTTATATGAAATGATGGCATTAAAGCATGCATTTGAAGCAAAAAGTATTTAAATTTCAATAATTAAAGCAATGGAAGGTCTATTTTTGAAAATTATCAGTGGGAAATATTAGCCTATTCATATAAATTATTCTTAAGAACTTATCTAATTATTGAAGGATATTCTAAATACAGATCCTTAAAAAAGACTTAATATCAATCAGATATTAGATTATAGAATAGTAAGAAAATCTAAAAATGAATTTATTTAAAGAAAAACTTAAAATATACAAAAGATTTAATTTATTTCTGGATAAATTAACAAAAATGAAAATCATTTTGAAAAAATTAGATATTATTAGAGTGAATAAAAATTTAATGGAGAATCGCTTGCAGATTAAATTGAAAAAATGAGAATGGATCTTGAAGAATAATTAGGAGTTGAAAAATTTATCTTAATTTATAATTCCTTAGTATAATATTTTATGATAATTAGATTAGAAAAATGAGGAAGTTCCTTCAAAGTTTTGTAATAAGATTATAATAGATAAAATTAATTAGCTTCTTGTATTAGAACAATTAATATTTTGATTTTTCTATATATATTAATTATACTTTTTTCTAGATAATTAAGTTATTTATTAAATTTATAGTCATATTTCAGTTTTTTTGATACTTAATATATTACTATCATACATTTATCTTATTTATCTATTAGATTAATATATTTATATGTTGAATTTTCAATTAATAGAATAGATATTTATTGGATTAAAAATCATATATCTCATTATTTGAATATTCTAAGAATAACATGAAGTTTTAAGAGAGAATTAGTAACATTATTAATTATTTCATAGATTATATAAATAATTAGTTAAGATTATTCATATTTAACTACAAATTTTCATTATAAATGTACTAAATATAATAAATTATATATACTAAATATTTATTACTAATCGTCTTGAAATGATAATTACTTTTTAAAATTTCAAAATAATATTAAAATATGGTCAAATAACTTTGAGAATTAATGTATTAAATAATTTATTTAATACTTTATCATTTTTTATAAATTTATAAATATATATTTAACGAATACATGTCTCTAACATACCTACCATTTCACAATCTAGCTCATTGTCCAAAGTAAGTCATAGAATTTGTATAAAATCCAAATCTGAATCTCATTGATTTAAACAACATGATAGAATAATTGAAAATGCCTAAAAATCATCATAAAGCAATTCAAAGCATGTAGATTTTAGTCTCAAAGTAAGAACATTATTTATAGGATGATAATACCCTTCAAAATCAAGATGAAGAAATTCATTCTCCTAAATTACTTTTTAGGAAAGTTCTATACTGATCAACTATATCTATATAATAATATTTTGAATATAAATTTAACTTAATAATCTCTATAATACTTCTTCTTTAATTTAACTTTTCTATTTTGTTTATCTAACTAACATTGACTCGCATTTATCTTAAATAGTTTTATTTCTTTATTTTTTTTGATATTAAAAATGTAAAATAGATTTAAAAATAAAATTTCAATGTATTTGTTATATATAAGTAATAATATTATTGAAAAGATGATTACATTTAAATTATAAGGTAAATTCCATAATATTAAATATAATCATAAATTTTACTAATCTATTTTATCTAAGGAAATGATATCATAAGTAGGTAAAGGGTATCTAATTCCACTAAAAGATTATTAATAATCTTTTATTATTTTATCTAGTCTTCTGCTATTAGATTTAGAAGCTGTTTTTCTCTACCCTTCTTCTTGAGATTTTATATCCTAAAGATTAATTCTCAAATACATGTATCAATCGTGAATGCTAGTATCTTGTATTATCATTACTTTTAGAAGGTTTCAATCTTTTTATAATCCATTTTTGGTTATTTCTTTGTGTTATTTAAGATAATTAAACTCCAAATTGTTTTTCTAGAATTTTATTTACCCAGTCAGAAACATAGGGGTTTTATTTAATTTCTCTTTTGACTATAAACTAGATTGTTACTATTAATTTCTACTTTAGCGTGAATTTTCATTTTTGTTACTTTTATTTGATATTTTATAATTTTCAAGTTTTATAGAATGATTTATACTTTGATTAACTTAATAATCCAGAAATTCCAAAATATTTACTGGTTCACATAGCTCTTTTACATATAATTGACTTTGAGAAAATAAGCCAACATTTTATTATCTCATTAATTAATATAAAAAATATATTTGTTCAAATATATATAAATATAATTTTTATATATAAAAATGTTTCTCATGAGAAATCTGACTTAATTTACTAAATTAAATTTAGAGAAAAATTACTATAATTTTTTGATATTTTATTATTCCAATTTTCAATTTAAAGAATATTTTTGAAGGTATATTTATAAAATTTAAAATATTTATAATTGATTATGTTGAATTGAAGTTAATTAAATTGAAATTTGCAATTTTCGAAGTGATTTTATATAATTATTTTGCATTATTATTATTATAATTAATATTACTATAGTCTTTTATAAAGTATAACTAAGAATTAAGTTAAATATAATTTTAATTAATAAATATGATGCTTTCCTTATAAAATTAATATATTATTTAATTCATATGATTTAGAATCTTAAGCTAGTAATATATTATAAATAGAAGGATATTTAATATTGAAAATAGTATTTGAATTGATATTTTTTATACTATAATCTAAAATTAAATAGAATTTGAATAAATTTTAATTAATTTAATAATAATTAATTTTTGAAGTAGATGAATGTGAGATTAGGAATGGTAAGGTGGGTGAATGAAAAATGCCCATAAATGAAGGTTAGCAATATTGAAAGCATGTCAGATGGAAGACATTTCTTATGTTTACTAAGAAGATACTTCCCAGAAATAGAGGTTCCATAATTTAAAAAAAATTAAACAATAGTTTCTCGTATAGAAACTCTTACATAAGTAGCTCACTATTGTTCAAAACTAGACAATTCAATTAAGATTGATGTTTTGAAAATAGCAAATAAGGAGTCACATATGATTCTAAATTTACTAAAATTTATAAAATCTATTCTAGATAAAACTCCAATAAAAATATAAAATATCAAGGAAGAAATTCCAACAATTATTAAAGAGTAGAATAAAGAATGTCAAAAAATACATGAGGAAATTGTGATACTTCCAATTCAAAAAAAATAAACAGTTGATTAAGAAATATAAACAATTGAAATTTAAGAAGTGAAACCTTTACAAATTTTATAAGAAAAAATAAAAAAAATATTATAATCTAAATTGTAGTATCCTTATTTAGAATTAGAAATACTTTAATTGTTAGAAAAAGATAAAGAAGTTGCTAATCTCTAATTATATTATTAAATTAAGGCATCTAGAACAAGTATGAAACCATCAAAACTCACAGAATTTATGTCCATTCATAGTAGTTAGTTTTATAATAGAGTGGAATAGAATTTACTTGAACCTGAATAATTTTTTGATTAGAATTTAGCAAGCAAAAAGAGTGTATGTGATGATAGTTTCTTTTAAGTTAGTGATGAAAAATAACAATATTGATTAATTTATGTATTTAATACTAAATTATTTATTTTTATTTGAAATAATGTCTAATATATAAGTTTAACCTTTTCTTTTATAAGAAAAACCAAATTTTATATATGATANGATTATGTTGAATTGAAGTTAATTAAATTGAAATTTGCAATTTTCGAAGTGATTTTATATAATTATTTTGCATTATTATTATTATAATTAATATTACTATAGTCTTTTATAAAGTATAACTAAGAATTAAGTTAAATATAATTTTAATTAATAAATATGATGCTTTCCTTATAAAATTAATATATTATTTAATTCATATGATTTAGAATCTTAAGCTAGTAATATATTATAAATAGAAGGATATTTAATATTGAAAATAGTATTTGAATTGATATTTTTTATACTATAATCTAAAATTAAATAGAATTTGAATAAATTTTAATTAATTTAATAATAATTAATTTTTGAAGTAGATGAATGTGAGATTAGGAATGGTAAGGTGGGTGAATGAAAAATGCCCATAAATGAAGGTTAGCAATATTGAAAGCATGTCAGATGGAAGACATTTCTTATGTTTACTAAGAAGATACTTCCCAGAAATAGAGGTTCCATAATTTAAAAAAAATTAAACAATAGTTTCTCGTATAGAAACTCTTACATAAGTAGCTCACTATTGTTCAAAACTAGACAATTCAATTAAGATTGATGTTTTGAAAATAGCAAATAAGGAGTCACATATGATTCTAAATTTACTAAAATTTATAAAATCTATTCTAGATAAAACTCCAATAAAAATATAAAATATCAAGGAAGAAATTCCAACAATTATTAAAGAGTAGAATAAAGAATGTCAAAAAATACATGAGGAAATTGTGATACTTCCAATTCAAAAAAAATAAACAGTTGATTAAGAAATATAAACAATTGAAATTTAAGAAGTGAAACCTTTACAAATTTTATAAGAAAAAATAAAAAAAATATTATAATCTAAATTGTAGTATCCTTATTTAGAATTAGAAATACTTTAATTGTTAGAAAAAGATAAAGAAGTTGCTAATCTCTAATTATATTATTAAATTAAGGCATCTAGAACAAGTATGAAACCATCAAAACTCACAGAATTTATGTCCATTCATAGTAGTTAGTTTTATAATAGAGTGGAATAGAATTTACTTGAACCTGAATAATTTTTTGATTAGAATTTAGCAAGCAAAAAGAGTGTATGTGATGATAGTTTCTTTTAAGTTAGTGATGAAAAATAACAATATTGATTAATTTATGTATTTAATACTAAATTATTTATTTTTATTTGAAATAATGTCTAATATATAAGTTTAACCTTTTCTTTTATAAGAAAAACCAAATTTTATATATGATAATTAATAAAAGAAAAGGTTTCATCATAATATCTATATAAAAAGAATTTTAAGTTTTTAATATAACTATTACTCCTTGTTAGTTCATTTTTATTATTATTTGAATAAAGGTTCGTTTATATAATTAATATTCATTCATAAGAATCATTAATAATTTATATATCATAAAAGTTGATAAAATAGTTCAATACCTTACCCTCCTTCCCAAACAAAGTAACCTCTACCAAACTCTTTGATTATTTCTAGTCTGTAAACTAGAAAATCAGGACAAGGATATGAAATAGAAACGAGTTCATTTTTGTATCTACATTCAGAAGACGATCTATCCCATTCTGTAATGAAATTGGATGCATTCAATTTAAGAAGTTCATTACCTATAAAATGAGTTTTATCATGCTCAGTTTTTTTGAATCCATAAAAAGGAATTCCCTATAAATATAATTATTTAATAATTACAAACAACAATTTTTCTTTGTAAGTCATAAAGTGTTCTAAATTATCTTAAACCCACTAATAAGGTGATAATAATTAATCATCTTCATCTTAGATCTAATAATCATATGTTTGTATTAATGTATAATCTGCTATTTTAAATAATTTTCTTAGAGTAGAATGCTTGTATTGTTAAGGATTGTAGATACCATATAATGTTAACACTAACATTTTATTATTAAGTTTTGCTTTTAATTTTTAAAGAAATTTAACTATATCTTATGCATCAAAAGCATCAATATATGATAAATAGGGTGTGTCTATCATAATTCCATGAAATTTATCTTAATATTATTATACTAAATTAATGATTGTTTCCAATAATTATGGATTATTGATTTATTAAATAAATGAGCTTTCCTATAATTCTATTTACACTCTAGGAATTATAGCTATAGAAGGATTGGCTTTAACTATTTCTTACATCCATTATTCATTTACAACTTACTTCCCATCAATAACATTATTATATCTAACACTAAACCATGCAGGACTAACCATGTCTATTTTCTATGCATATTTTATAGTAAGCCTATATCCTTCCTTATTCCTATTTTTACTATAATAAATTACCAAGGAGTGACAAAAAAGAAATTAGGAATTTAATAGTTTTTATTTCCACTCTCTTTTTATCTAGCCTCTAATTCCTATTCTTGAATTTATTATAATTCAAAAGGTATCGAAATGCTTTGTGAGCTTACATATAAATAATATAGAAGAATAGCCCCAATTATTCCAAAAAGTGCTATATTAAAAACACTCATATTTTAATAATATTTATATTTGATCAATAATTTTATCAAATCATTTAAAGCTTTTGTTAATAAAATTTAAGGAAATAAATCACAATTTTTAATAACTATTTTTCAGATTATGTAATTATTAAATCTATTATTATTACAATTTATTTAAAGATGCAATATTTCAATTCTTTTTAGATTAACAAAATCTAATATTATATTCTTTTTGATGATAATCTATCTAGTAGAAGTGGAAACCTAAAACTTTTGAATTATGACTTTATTCTAAACTTAACTATTCTTAAGATATTTAAAGATAAGAATTTAAATTAAAAGATTGATATAAATTTATACTATCTAAATTAATATATAAATTTATTTTTTCAGAGATTTTTTAGAATAAAAATTTTAATGATCTCTAAATATTTAAATTATGAGCAATATTTTAGCACAAAATTTACTTTCTCATTTGATTTATTAAAATTAGATAAGATCTAAAGTTTATCTAATTATAATATAATTATATAAATTCTTTTTTTACAGATCACAGCTATTGCTAACATGAAACTAATTCTATTATAAAAAATCAATTAAAATTAAAAACTACTTGATTAAATGTTATCAAGAAATATTAAAAGAGTTTTAGGAACTATTTGTAATTTGTGAACTTTTAGTTAGAATAGAATTTCTGAGGGATATTATTAAATTTATTGATTTTCTTTATTTCTTATATATATAAGATCAATATTATCATCATACCCTTATATTTTGCTACAATTTTGACAATATTTCAAATGGTATTGTATCATTAACATCATATAAAGATGTTTATCAAATTAGAAAAATTAATATTAGTTTTTGTTATATGCTTTTCATTTCTCAATTAGATTGTAAATATTACTTTATTTTTGTACTCTAGTATTATATTTGAATATTTTCCAAATTGTCTGTTATGTATAGTAATCCCTCCATTGAATAATATAAATTAATTTAATATATATATGTATTTGATGTTATACTGTAAGAATCATTTTTTACCTTTGTTGGCTTTAGCAGCACCTTTTTATGCTTTTTATTAAGCTTTGACTTCAGCTTTTTGTGCTACTTTTTATGCTGCAGCTGGTTTCTTCTTTTGAGCTTCAATTTGCTTTTGTTTTCTGTCTTTAATTTCTCTTGCAGCTTATTCAGCTTATGCCTTTCTAGTTTCTAAGGATTATGAGTATATTATTACTGTCATCTTCCTTTCTTCTTCTTCTGATTTCTTCCAATGAAATACCAACAATAGCTCTTTAGACTTTAAGATTTCTGATTCTTCTCTTCTTAGCTCCTTCATCTGTCTTAATCTTTTTGTTTAATCTTCTCCAAGCAACAGTCCATTGAATTTCTTGAGATTTAATCTATATATTATGAGATTGAATACTTTTCTTGCACTAAAAGCTCTGCTCTTTTAATTCAAGTAATAGAAGAGTCTGCCATCCTTGGCTACGAATCTTCTTCCATGTCCAGGGTAGATTCTCCATTCACTAAAGGAGCACAAATCTGTCTTGATAACCATTATTTAAAAAATATTTAAATCTTAATTTTCATTCCATCACAGATATCCATCATTCCTCTTATGGTTGTTTTTTTGTTTTCAATTTTCCTTACAATTCATTAACCTCTTCTTCCTCATCCATAACCTATTATGTGCTTAATTTATCAAGTTCTTCTAATTTCTCCTCAATCTCTTCCAATTTAGCATTATCAACCATTTCTTAAATTGATTTTTTTTCATTTCCTTCCTTACCATTATTTTCTATTTATTCAGTTAATTACTCAATCAATTCATTCTACTTTAATAAAGCATTCAGATCTTCAATAAGATCTACTTCTTCTATTGCATTATCCTATAATCCCAAATAAGTCAAGCTTAATTCTTATCTCTCTAACACATTGATAAATTCAAATATTGCTTTATCTGTAAGATGATTATTCCATAAATGCAAAGTTCTTAGATATTTAAGATTTGGCCAAAGAATCTAAGCTGCTGAATCTGAAAATCCAGTATTTCCTAAATTCAATTCCTCCAATATTTTATTCTTTTTCAAACATTATGCCATTTGCCTTATAGTTTATAAATCCATTCCAATGTCATTCAGATATAAGATTTTGATAGTTTTATTCTTTTTAAAGGCCTAAAAAAATGGTACTAATGATTTAGAAGTCAAAGGATTATTTCCAAAATGTAGAACGGTCAAATTAGGTAGACAATTAGCAGCTAATAAAGAAGAGAAACATATCAATCCTATTTATTAATCAGATAAAAATACCGAAATCAGAAATATTATTACCTGGAACTTATAATTATTGTAAATTCTTCAATTCTGGAAGTGCATAACATAGAGAAATAAATGTAGTATCATCTATTGAACAAGCACTCATGCTTAATATTTTCAATTATTTGAAACTACTTGAAATTTCAACGAATCCTTATACACCAATCTTTAATTATATATACTTTTTTACTTCACTAATTTAGTTATTACCAATATAAATTTCTTTTAATTTATCATGCCATTATAATCCTGTTAACATATCAATAAATCCACGATCTGTAATAGAGTTGGCTGCTATATGAAATAAAGTCAATTCTGTTTGACATTCATGAAGATAGAGAGCAATCTAATTCAAAATATAAAAAATACAGTCAAAGCATCGAGATCATCTAATTTCTTTGCACTTACATCTAAAAATTTTCCACAACTTTTTAATTCTTCCATTAACCATATTTTTCTTTTTTCTACTTTCTCTTCAAATTCTTTTTTAAATTGTTCTTCATCTATCTCTTTTTCATTTTGATCCATTTTTCAAATTAAATAATTATAAAATTTATATATTAAATTATAATAACAATTAAATTTAATTAAAAGTTTCTAAACAAAATACAATTAAATAGAATTAATTCAAACATATGAAAATAAACAGAATATTGGTATTAACTAATTATTTCATATGTTTTTTTATATCACAAGATATCAAGATTTGACATTATATAAAGTTTCATATAGTTACAAAATTTTAGTAAGAAAACTTTTTAATGGCTTAAGATATTTACTGATTTTTTATTAAAGAATAAGAAGAATGATGAAAAGTTAATTAAAGACAATATAATTATGAATTTTATTGAAAAATAGAAATAACTCCATTAAAGAATTTTTTGATGAATTAAATACTATTTTTAAAGGATAATGTTATAAATAATTTGTTATAAATGATTGATGAGTAATTGTTGATTGGATTAAAATATATAATAGACTTGATTAGATAAAATTGCATTAAAGGTTGTAAGATGAGAAGTAATTTATTAAATTTGATTTACAATTAAAAGTAGTAGACTTAGAAGTAATTTTGGTTCGGTATAAATTTGATTAATTACTAAAAATTAATTGATTAATTCTGGAGAGATATTTATAAAATTTATAAAATTTTATTAAATAGAACATGGATTTCCATATATAAAATTGATTTTTCAATAATATTTGTGAGATATTGTAAAGATATTTAAATATAAACAATAGATACTTGTAGTTATAGATTGTATTTAGAAATTAATCAAAAATTTTAGTATTAAATCTATAAAATCTGAAGTATTTATGATTGATTATAATATTATCATATTAATATCATTTAGGCATTTGTATTTATAACTTATTATATTAAGATGTCTGATGTCTAATTTAATTAAAATAAAGATGTAAAATTATTATATAAAATTATATGAATATCTCAGCAAAACCGCATTTATATATAAATTATTTAAATTTGCAGAATTGTTAATAAATTGACAAAAACAACAATACCAAGTTTGTTGATATTGTTTGTATTAAAAATAAAGATTGAATTATGATGATTTCATGTTTTGCTAGTAACCAATACAAGTGAATCATGAATGAATATATGTTATATTTAATTAAAATTTATTATGGTATTTTCAAAACATTATGATATGAATTTTAGAGAGTAGGTTATCTTAAATTAATATTTATGAATTTAGAATTAATAAAATCTTATTTTCTTTACCTAGACAAGTTTGCATGCCCAGTCTAACTTTTTATTTAAAAAAAGAGGGGATATTAAACATATTTAGGTGCTTTTACAACTCTTGGATGTATTCTATCAATTCTATTTTATCTGACAAACAAACTCAGTTAAATTGATGATAGAACTGAATTTTAAACTCTATATTCGGACATCTTTCATTTAGAGCCACCTTATTATAAGCTAACAGAAGAAAACTTCACATTATAATTTGCTTTTCAATATTAGAACAAAACAAATTACATTAATGAAAGCATATACATACCTGAAGCTTATCTTGTATATAAATAAATAATTGAGTATTTTATATAGTGTTATTAAAAGGATTAATGGAAAGAAGAAAGAATATAATAATAAATCACTGATACCAATCTCAAAATGCTCAAAGAATGGTATAATCCAAGATGAATTGGCAGAATAATTTGATGATTAAGATCTTTCTAATACTTATTGTTTAGATTGGAGTAAGGTTGATAGTTTGGCATTATTTGGAACTGATGATGCTCCAGAATATTAATATATCAATGTGAGTTTTAGTGTTTGTTAGAATGGTTCAAGTAATTATTTTATATATTTATATAAAAGAGCCTGGTGTTGTTTGTGCAGATAGCGAGACAATTCAAAGAGTTTTGAATAGAAATTATATTCACTTTTAATTGACATCATATATAGTTAATTTGAGAGATTTCACACAACCATTAATACCAAAAGTAGAAGACATTTATACAACTATATCAGCCAAAGTCACCAAAGATGTTGAAATATTTATGTAACCTATAACTACAATAACCGATTTTGGTTATTTTTAAAAAGAACTTCGTAAGGATACTACAATCAGATATTTTTATGATAAAGAAATAATTGATTTTAATACTGATACATCATTAGCAAATGTTGTAATTCGTTTATCTGATACTGAATAAGTAAGTTATAGAATCTATCCGAAAGTGTAAGATGTTTTGGCTGCTGCAGGAGGATTATGGTAAATCATTATTGCAGTAGCATTATTTCTCTAAAAACCTTTTAGTGAATTAGCATATAGTATTGAGATTATTAACAAACTTTTTAATTTTGAATAAGAACCATCTAAAAAACAATAAAAACATGCTCCATCTAATGAAGATATTAATGAATTAAAACCAACTAAAACACTTTTACCAACATAAACTGATATTAAAACTATTTAACAAACTGGACCTGATTTAAAAACAAAATCTAAAATTAAATAAGCAGTTTCTAAAAGATTCCCATAAGGTAGATAATAATCTATTATTGGTTCTAAATCTAGTGGTTTTATAGAAAGATTAACATAAAATGAAAGAATTAATGAAGCACGGTCTCTGTTTACTTTAGTATCATCAAATATAAAAATAAAATTTAAAGAATATGTTCAGTATCTAACTTATCGACCAAAAAAAAGAAAAATGGAATAATTAGATTATTCTATTAAGAAATATGAATCATTTTTAGATATACTATTTATTATAGATAAATTATAAGAAATTGATAAACTTAAACTTATTTTATTCAACAAAGCTTAAATGAATTTATTTGAATATTTACCAAAACCAACAATTTATTTAGATCCATTTAGTCCAGAATAAGAAGAATTTTAATTTCATTCTTCAATACTCACTCCACAAAAATCATTTGAAGAAAAAGCAAAATAAGCATCAATAGCTTTTGAAGAACTTCTAGTAGATTTTGAAAATAATCCTATAACATAAAAATTAATAGCATGTTTAGATAAAGAAGTTGTAAATGTTTTAATATCTGAATATGAGGAAAGGAATAGAACTAGTAGAGCAAAATAACAATTTCTATCTATTAGTAATTCAGTTGTCGCCAAAATTAAATAGGATTAACAATAAAGACAGTATTAATATGAACAAATGACAAAGTAGGCTGAATAAAAGAAATATTTTGATGGAACTGTTTAGAATAGTGTAATAAAAGAAAAATCCGATTATCGAGAAGGGTCTTAAGAGTCAATCCAATATAGATCTCAGAAAGAATAATGAATTCAATAAATTATAATTTAAAAATATTTATTCATGATTCAATAATATCAGGTGTGATTAATTTAGAAACTTATCTCTTTTTTAGATCTTATTAAATTTATAGAAGCTTAAAAATATTAGGATCCATCAAAGAAATAAGTTTTATAGTAATGGGATCATCTAAATTTTCAAGTAAATCATCTAAAACTTATTATGCTTCATGTGCTTTTTCTCTTTAAGTTTTATATGGTTTCAATAATGAAGAATACATTATAGTTTCATTTTATTACAAATTACTAGGATCTAAAGAAATCAAAGGTTTAGGTAAAAAATCAAAAAGTTGTACTTATTACTTTGTCAATAAAATTGTTTTAAGTTTATCAATTTCTTATAATTTATCTATAATAAAGAGTATATCTAAACATTTCTCTAATTTATTCACTGAATATTACATTTATTTAAATTTTCCTTCCTTTTTTCTATAAAATCAAAATATAAAATTACCCACACTTTAAATAT